CTTTCTATGTTTCGCATTTATAATGTCGTTGTTCTGATTCGGATTATGATGATAGAATGAACTTCATTCTAGCACGATTTTTGGTAACTTTTCCATTCTAACACGATTTTTGGAGGCTTGTTTTGTTTAGGAATTGGTATCCCTGTTATGTGTGACAGCCAACAAAACGTCAGCACAAGAGTACGCTTTATACTTTGTATGCTCGTGTTCTGTGGTAAAGTTAAAGGTGGTTACTTTTTTTCACACTAATATCAATGTTTATTCATTAAACAAAGCTCATATAAAAGGAAAAATGCACACGCATTACGATTTATTATTAAATTACACCAATAAAGTCATTAAACAAGTTTGCATAAACGATTTCTTAAAAATGTGCTAAAATGAAATTATCTAACCTCAACCTAACTTTCGTTCTTAAAAGAACAATTGTTATAAATTTTAACAGTCACCGTGGAATGTTCACCTGCATTTATAGTAATTCCGGGGACATTTTGTAACGAGTTAACAGTGGTGGATTCGAGGGTGGATTGTTCTCCGCTAGTAACAGTACATGGTTTCGTGGAGGGTCCAGCTTGAGGTTGTTTGGATTGAGTAGTCGAAACCGAAAGTAACTCTGCGACTTCAATTCTTTTTTTTTAGATTGATCAACGTAACCCTCTGCTGTTGAGGAACTTTTCCACCCACCATGTTGCTTCAGTGTCATTATATCTGCACCATTGTTCGCCAAGTGTGATGCTGATGATCGGCGAAAGCAATGCCCGGAATATTCATCGCAGTTCCGCAACTTGAGATATCTTGCAATAATTCGGGGCATCTCGCCTATTTTGTTCAAACCAATTGGTTGCACCGTGCAACGTCCTTGTCGATAAAATATGAAAAACCGTTTGTGGGTTATATGTACAGGTCTTAAGCAAGCATACTCCTTGATTAAGCCTATCCACATTGCATTTGTAATTGCAAATAGCCTTGGACGTTTAGTTTTGGTTTTTGGTACCGTCACAAAAATTGAATCGGACTTGTAGTCTATATCATCCGTAAGCAAATTTTTTAGTTCCTCCCGCCTGCATGCTCCGGAATAACCAATTATTAGAATTACCTATAAATGTATCAGTGTGTAATTGTTGATTGAAAATTAATAAAATTACCTTCGCTGCCAAATACTCTGTGTTGGGTGCTTCATTAATGAATCTTTCTAATTCAGGATATTGTAATATTTTAAACTTCTTTGCCTCATATCCAACTGATTTTCGTCTTAATAATGCCTGCAGTTTCATAAATTTAGAAATATCAATATTCTCTCGAACATTCAACATAGATCGGAGCATCGAGTAATTCTTCCACAACGTAGAACTTTTGTAGCTCTTGCTCATTATTGTAAAGAATGCTAACAAAACATTTTCGCGTATCACTGTCACGTTTTGTGCGCCACACCAATCTTTAAATTTTAGGTATTCTTTTTCATACTCTCCTTTTGATTTTGTCGGTAACAGATTATCGACCGCTTCTTCGGCTATTAAGTGTAGTTCTGGCGGAGTAGATGAAAAGGTTGTCTCAGACATTGCAAATTTTACCTTCGTGTATCTATTTTCAGGCGCAATAACGAAAAATGTTAAAATTTAGAGAGACTAATTTAAACATTTGAAAGATGTACGCAGTGCTGCCAACTTTATTTTGACGCGGCAATATTTCTATTTTAAACTAAATACATACTTTTTTATAAATAATAATTAAGGGCTCAACATAGAAAATAGTATAAAACGTTCGTCACAGAAGGCCTTCTATCACTCGTTCATTCGAACCTTCGTCGCTACGTGGCTCAGGTTCGAAACTTGAATTCGTGCTAGAATAGGCCGCCTTCTGCAACTTATGTTTTAATAATACTATTCCATATGTACGTTCCTGGGTTCGTTCGTTTCTCCAATTTTTCTGTTGACTTTCACGTTCGCGAGGTTCAGTTTTTGCTTCGTTATTTCGTTTTGCTATATTAATCGTTGCGTGTTCGTTTGAGGAATTTTTGTTCTTGATCAACTTTTCTTCTTCACGTAACTTCGTTTTAATCTGGTCTAATGTTAAATCTTCTTTGCTTAAGTCTATGGTCCGGATAGTTTGCTCGTACGTTTCCGGTAATCCGATTAGAATAATACCGATTTTGATTTTTTCGTCGAATTTTAATCCGCGCTCATTTAATTTCTTCTGAATCTCACATTTGCGATAGACGTATTCATCGATTGATTCCGTTGTTTTCTTCTCTGAATTCACGAATTCTTTTAATAATATCGCGTGAAAATTATCAATTTTGGCATGAGCGTTTTCCAGAATTTTCCACATTTCGTATGCGGTGCTGCATTCGTCGATTTGAGATAGATTGCGGTCGTCCACATTCAAAACAATTAGGGCTCTGCATTTATCGTCTGCTTGTTTGTTTTCTGGTTTCGTTGCGAAATTTCCGTCCGTTAAAGCCGTATCTAGATTTTTCATTGTCGCATAACTTTTTATTCTAATGCTCCACGATGAATAATTGTCGTCGTTCAGTTTCGAGATATGGTGCGATAAATCGTTCATTTTATATGCGTTTACTAATTTACGTACGTTTCAAAATTTCGCGATTGTAAAACGCTCGGTAAAACGCGTTCGTCTAATTCGTTACCTATCGGTGCAATGTTTATTTCGTTTTCGTAATATCGTATTTCATTTAGCATTAACGCGATCCGTACACTAATTTTATGTCGATTTCAGTCCGTTTTAAAATATAAGGGAAACTTACGATTTGTTGGCGAATCATTTTCCACTTACGTCACTGTCAAACTTTTTTTTACTAAACGTTCTGGGCTGCCATAACCTGTTATTTTAAAATGTTTAATGAATACTTTATTAACATAAAATGCACTATAATTCAATCACAGATTAACTAAACGTAAAAAATCGTCTCTCAAATCTTTACATCATTTTTGCACCCACGCGCGATTTCCACTTCACTTTTTTCAGCCTCCTATTCCCTTTTTATATTTTAACACACACGCTTATTAAATTAGAACTGCGGAATTCAACTATACTGTAAACCCCCATTGTATCTAAAGTTATCCAGAACTTTAAAATTTATAAAGTAAATATTTAAAACATCATTTTTATTATTTTTTTTAATGAAATGCATTTCCAAAACATGGCAAATATTTGTATTTGATCAAGACGGATTATCTGTAAAATAGATTAATGTAAACGTACCTGCAAAGAATCTTGGCAGATGATTCGAAGCCTCTACGACTGCGCGATAACCTGACACATTAGCCATAGAACTTAGAACGTCGAAGACTTGAGCTCTGGAAATTCGTGGAATGCAATCCATTCCTAAAATTTCAGATGATAGCTCGAATTACGTCATGCGATTTATTTACGAACCGAAAGCGTTAATTTTTCGTAGAGCCAACTTATCCACAAGTGCTTTATTTTGGGCAGGGTATAAAAGAGAGAGCAACGTGCTATTTTCTCGGAAATATTCCACTTCATTCTCAAGAGGTGGTCTAACTTTTAAAATAATATCTGAAAAGAACTTGAATAACTACCATTAAAACAAAATTATACGACCTACCTGCGCTAAACGCTGTCTGTGCATCTACGAGCTTGCTTCCGGCAGCTTCGTAGTCGGAATCCCGAAATTTCGCCTCAGAGCCAGCCCCCTTCTCTACATTTACACTAAATCCTTTTTTTACAAATAATTCCGCTACAGTTGGTGTAACTGCTACTCTGAAATTATAATAGAACTGTAAGTTTATCGATTGCATCTATACATCCATCTAACCGTTTTTCATTTTTCCACGTTTCTTTAGGAACTCCAATAGATAATTTGTTATAAGGAATGCCGCTGATTACTTTTTCCTGTTTTTTAGTGGTTGAACTACATTTCCTAACACTATTTTTTAAGTGGTGATGCAGATATCTCACCCGGAGACTATGATGGCACAATTTATCTGCTAATATCCGGGTATGATTTTGTAATCTCGAATTTGAGATTTTTATATAGTTGCACACCATTACTTGAGCCATGTTCAAATATTGCAATTACCTAATATTGGTCGAATACCATGTCTCCTGAAATAATAAACGAGGGATTAATACAAGTACTCGCCCTTTTAATTCTATATTTTTGCCATTTCAAATTCCCACATTAATTTTTAAAATATAACGAAATTTCGTATATACTTAGAAGTAAAACAATTATGTGAAAATGAATGGTAAGTAATGCAAAGTTGATTGTGTGTAAATATTACCTAATCATAATAAAAATAATCCGAATCCAATACACTTAAAAATAATTATCTACCAAGAACTTTGCAGATTGGATTTTACTAAATGGTGCATTGGAATTAAGAACCATCATTCACCATGGAAGGGTCTATTAAGTTTTTTAAATTTATTAAAAAGTGTCCAACAAAGTTAGGTGCCGAAGTGGCACATCTCGTGGCACATTAGCTGATCTATTGTTTTCCATAATTTCGACTTCTACCGTTCAAACCGCCAAAAATCTACGCCGCTCTAATCATGTAGGTACGCCATAGAGACCGTGTATGTACAGTAACAAATTTTATTCCAAACTATATACCTAAATTGACTCACTATACTCATATCTTTTTTCTACAGTACTAATCGACAAAATTATGCAAAAACTAGTCAATCACAGTGGGTTGTAATCTCACAAAAATGGAATTTTGCCTCTCTAAATATAAATTTGTATGACTTCTAAAGTGAAAAGCGCTTTGTCGTCCATTTCCCTTTATGTCTCTGTGTGTCCTGTACGCGATAAAAATTTTATGACACCCTACCGAGTTTATTATTCTGTTTCTTCGCCGCCCGATACAAATTAGATACTTTTGTCGCTCTGCATAATCCCTCAAAAGTATTCTTTCGGCTTCTTGTCGCTCTAAGGAGCGGTCAACATAAATAAAACACAAGAAATTGGGGATTTTGAAATTTAATTAAATATGTTCACACCGAGGTTCAAACAAAAACAATCAAATTCAAATCAGAGTTCTCCTATCTTAATCACACGAGAGTAGCTCTAGGGACTTTGATTGCAAGGGAGGGAAAAGAGCTATTGAAAACGTTCCAGGATATGTACTCACGTACTTTCTCATTTCTTTTGCAATTTGCAGTTAGCATGTTGACATTATGATAATTTTCAACCTGCACGACAACATTGGAGAATTCTATCTCCCTCGGGAATTTCATTTCCCCCGTAATTATAATTATATATTTAACATATTGTGCCACCATCTTTCACAGAAATGATTGCTGGACAAAAGTTTTGTTGTTGTTTCTTAGAGTTTTTGTTTCGGTTTGTAGTATTCTCTCTTCGGGTACTTCCCCACCCTCACTCTCGGCAGCCCTTTTAACATCTCGTGCCTCAAATTGTCTCTCATACATGCACTATTGATTAACTTCCAAGTTCCAATCTGTTTCTCCCTTCAAACATTCTATTCCAACCTCTTGCAAATTTCCACCGAACCTCTATTTCTAATTTGATCCAAAATTGACCCTATGACCTAACGTAAATAAAAGAATTAATGAAACATAAAAATTCATCTGTTAATAGCGTAAATTAAACTTCGCACTGAAGAAGTAACGTTCTGAACGTAATTTCTTTTAGTGCGCAAGCTTACACGTGAAGAACTTCTTTTTTAACTTGATGATATTTTAATTTTCTTTACAGCGTTTGTGTGGTTCAAGCGCTTTGATAACTTCCGCTTCCACCGTTCAAATCGACGAAAGATCTACGCCGTTTTAGTCAGGTAGAAACGACTCGTTATCTCATACCATGCACAATTCAATAAGTTTTTTCCGAGGTTTTTCCTATCCCTATTTTCCTAAACCTAAATCATTCTATTCAAAACTGTAAACGAATGTGCATTTTTATCCATTTGTAGCTGTATCTTCGTTGTGATGGCTGTTTTTTCGAAACACCTTATATATTTTATACAGCTTCATTCGGATTTGCAAGGAATTTGTTCAACCTCAAATTCAGCTTATTCCTCGGCTTATTCGCTCCTATGTACGTATGATTGCATTCAAAAATTGTCTGATTACACATCTCAAATTTTTATTGCCGGATGTCTTATTAAAACCATTAATTAACTTGTCTTATGTCTATTTATATAAATGAGTCAATTTATGCTTTGTCTAGACAAATTGCTACTTCAAGCGTTCGAAAGAAATACCTAGGTACATTGCCGTACATCCCATTGCAAAAATATTTGAAAAAATCCGATACAACTGAATACCGAACGATCCGCGAGATCTTCGCACATGCTCCATTTTTACAACACACATTAAAGGATTGATTTTGTCCCACCAGATCAGCATTCTTTCAGCACAGCTTGTAAAACAAATTTATGAATATAGGTATTGGATTTAGTTTTATTCGAGGTCCGTACATACAACATTTCATTTAAATATCTGAACAAATAAAAAATTTGATATTGCGAATGCGCAAAACAAATTTTTTGATTCGGAATTAGTTTTACTTTTATTCGAGGTACCTACATACAAAATTTGGATTGCGCAAATACAAAAGTTGGGTTGCGCATGTGCAGTTTTTTGTATTCATCTGCATAGTTACCTGAGGTTTAAGGAATATTTACAGAAAACCGTTCTTTGTAACAAGAATTATAAAAGAAACCCTTTTTTGGAGGTGCCGGCAGTTTTTGGGCTGTAACCTTTTGGCAAAATTTCAAAACATAATGACTAATGGCTCGCCATACGCCTTTTACATATTTATATAAGATTATTTCTTAAGTTTACCAAAAAAATTCTATCAGTGCTTAATTTCGCGGGGTATTTTCCCCCCCCCCCCCCTATGGGTGCGTCACTGTTCTCCGTAACCGCAATCCATTCGTTGACGTGTGTTTTCATTTTTTCAACTTGTCTTGTAAGAAAGATCTTCAGTTAAAAATTCAGAAAACTTTCAATTTTATTTTATAGAAGCGCATAGAATATTAAGCACAGTAAACAGCAAAAATGTAAAATTATGGTAGATGAAAGAAATTAGTATTAAACGCACAAAAAAGTAGAACAATAGCTCTAGTAGCTACATAGCCGTAGGGACGGACAGACGGGCGGGCAAGGTGGACACAATATCGATTTTTTTATTTTTGTGGAAAAAAGCAAGGGAACTTCCTTTATGCTACAATTCATAATCCCTATTCCTGTATTCCTTACCACAGCTAACAACTGGCAACAATGTAACTTTTTAACAATCAATATGGGCAATATGGACATTAAAAGTTTAAAACGTGGCTCTGGAAATACAGCCTGTTGCGATAGGCTTGAAACAGTACATTTGAAAATGAAATTGTTTTAATTGAATATAATAATAATAATATTGGTATGTAAATATAATTTATTATACGAGTATGCTACTATAAAAACATCTGCAACAGCTGGTGCTAGGGTGACACATCATAACCTCACACAGTTTGTGAAATCTAAACATTTGCCAATCAATCCAAACAATTCTTATCAACAATTTATTTATAAAACCACGATAACAAAAACATTACATTTTTCTGCACTAAATTGACCACCTGTACAGCTGCATTCTATAATTAGCTATACAATAGTGATCCTAGCTACATCATGGTCCTGAAGGTCCTCTTAGATGAAGATGGGAAGGAAGGACACCGCAAATTAAATGAACTCGAATTGTAAAAACAACGTAGGCGAATAAACAGAAAAGTGGTTAGGACATTCCAAAGCAATTCTCTATTATTACACGTGTACGTGTTGCTTGAAAAGGGTACAGTTGCAACATTTCCAAACTAAACAACAATAAACATATGACGTTTGAAACATTAGACGATCAAAGAACAAACAATTTTTTTAAGTGAATGAACGAGCATATCGGCACGTTATTAAGCTTTACTACTCACCCTTTCGTGGCTGAATTATAATTAATACTGCTTTTAAAATTGGAAACTAGTTTTAATAGAATCACTTATATGAGACTAGATACCGAAAAGTTAATGAATTTTAATCGAAATCGAAACGTACTCTTAATAAAACATGATTTACTGGTTCTGGTTGCCCAGTTGTTTTGGTCGCTGTGCCGGTCGCCGGTATTCAAGCTGGCGGGCTTTAAAATTTTGTCGTTTACATTGTAGCTTCGGGCGCCGTAACTATTCATCCCCGCCATATTGTTTATTCTGTTTGCTTTTCGTTAATATTTGATGCAACAAATTTTGTAACGTTGAAGTGATATGTTCTACGCAAGAAAATTAAACGTCTGAATCCGAAGTCACACTAGGAATATAATTGCACCGCTATGTAACAGTTTATCCTATGAATATGCGATGAAAAATGAGTTACTGTCGAATCACCTTTGGAATTCTTGTTTACATGGGAAATCGTACTTAAATTGAAGTTCCAATGGCGACTCGATCGCCACTAATTTTTGATCACCCGTACCCTCTTCCGAATTCCGATACTTCGGTTTCCAGATATTCATTTGACACTCTTTGATTTGCCCTAACCCATAGATATGAAAAATAGTCGCGAAGAAAGTTATAGTTTGTAGAATTCCCTTCGATGAAAAATAGTTTGTGCTTTCACAGATTTTCTCTGCCCTTCCTGGAGGTAAAGACGTACGCCTAACGCGATTCACTGTCAAATGCGTTGGAAATATTCATAATTGCTAAAACAGTATGATTAATTACTTTAGTTATTAATACACGAAGTACACAAAAACACACGAGCGAATAGGGCGCAGTAGACGAATAACGTATGATATGTTGCCTAACCGCCGCGTACATGTTATGTATGTCGCGCGAAGCTGCTATATAAACAAGTGTTGTAACAATTTTCATTCAAACTATTCGGAATTATTCGCACAATTTCGGAAAACTGATTTATTACACATTTGGCTCGTTGAATTGGTCCGTTCTTTTGCTTCCGAAACGCCAATTGCTGCACTAAAGATCTGCAAAGTTCGAGTGCGCTTTAAATTTTAATTCTTGAAGCATTTTTCGTGCGAAAAAATAAGACGAGTACCTTACGTTAGGTTATAATGGCCGGTGTGTTTACGAAGTTATTGAGAAACTCACAATTGCAGAATAAGTTAACATGTGGAAGCACACAGAGCAGAAAATGTAAGTTATTTTGTTTGTTTGCTTTCGTTTATTTCAAAGAAACCCCTATTGCATCCCCCAAATGCCTCTTTATGACGTCCTTGCAGCGTGGAAGTATTTTCCACGCTTATCTGGAGTGGAGTAGGACTGCAGGTTTTTATTGCAAACAATAAACGTGTGCACTTATTTATTAACAATTTTATTGAAGTTATTAAAACTCGAAAATCGACACAAGTTCAAGGAATGCCTAGACATGATCGTATAATGAATAGCTCATTAATGTTAAATTAATTGTATAGTTGTGCACAAGCACAATAATAAATATTCTGTTGCAGTTCTTTAGTTTTAGCTATTAGGTTAATTTTTTAATTAACCTTAACTGGGCTAATTATACAACTATAGGTACCTAACTTGTGTGTTAAGTTTTCAACTATTTTGAGTTGGAGACTGCCTACTACTTCTTTGGGGAAAGTATAAAATTTTAAATTAGCATTTCAATACGTATAGATATCAAAAGTACCTAAACTGGTTTTTACCTGCACTTGATCAGTGTTGATTTATTTTTAAAAAAAGTGGTACCTGGTCCTAGTTGCCTTTTATTAGCAACAGTTACCAGCGTGTCATAAAGCATGCGTAGGCAGATGTCCATTATACCAAAATTTTTATTTTAGACAGACCATTGACTTTCTATCGGAAATGAGCCCAGATCATATTCCCAAATACAAAAAACAAGACTCACTTATGTACTTTTGTTTCCGCCCGTCTGTCCGCATATCATTAGCGCTGCAGTGGGCATCAAAATTATGTTTCTTTTGTCACTTCACATAAAAGTATTTTTATCGGTCTCTCTCTTTTTATTGGCATATCTGGCGATTATGTGATCATATTTTAGTCTCACTTACTGCCTTAACGTTTCGGCTTTGAAACTATGTATGTCAGTCTGCCCGTCGTGAGTGGATTGTACTGGAAATATCCCGCACGAGTTTTAACTTGGGTCCAACCATTTTTGTGAAATTTTGAAAAATGATTTAAAATGTAAAAATTTTGTTGGACATATAAGGCGCGGTAATAATTTGTTGTATTGTTATGACGGGTCACTAGTATCCATTTCTACATTTTCTACGTCACAAAAAGGATAGTAGGTAAATATTAAGTAACAATTGACCTTCAAAATACCTTAAAATTTGTTAATGCAAGGTCTCTAATTAGTTAAAACATTTTTTTGTTTATTTGTTAGTTATTATGTTTAACCGTTTTTTATTAGCTATGTCAGATAGAGGAACGCGTAAGTGCCATGAATACCACGTCCACAGTCATATGACTAATTATTACCTTCATTCAACAACCCTTTTCTTTGATTTTTGTTTTTTAACGCATACTTTGTCCCGATTTTTAAATTTTTGGAATTATTTTGGAATTGATTGATAAATGTATGTACTTGTTTATTATTTACAAACGACATTTTTTACGGAAATAATTACACGATTTTTTATTTTTGTGGAAATGCGCTAAAAAACGGCTTAACCGATTGGAACCAAATTTGGTGCACCTGTTTTTAGACATAAAAGAAATAACTGAAAAGCTTTTGGACAAAACGCGCATGGTTGATGGTCAGGTGGTATCTCTGCTGAAGGCAGTAACTAGGTATAGGCAGAGTAGGCCCATGACTACAGGCGCAAGCCACTAGATGCGCAAAAATCATAAATACATGTCCTTCCTGCAATCCTAAAAGAAAATCGCCAGCCAGGTCGCCCAGGCGCATATGAATGTGAAAATAATCAATTTTTTTTTAATATAGATGGCCATGAATGGACCAAAATCGTTCTTCATTGATTCTAACATTCAGATCCATTTTCTCCAACTTATCCAATAGCAAGAATTTTAAACAATTTTGGAGTTATCAAAATGAGTTTTCTACAGTAAAAGTCAATGTTTCCACATAGGATCACAGTGGTTCATCCTGGTAATTTGAAGCGCTATGTATATCTTTCAAATGACTACAATGCTTTGGTAATGAAATGGTAAATAATGTTAGCACATCCAGGCCCGGGCTAGGTATGTGTTTAGCACCCTGGACTATATTTAGTTTGGGGCCCCCTTAACTAATGTTTATTAGTAAAATTGCGTGCTTAGTGACCGAGTTTCATACGGTTATTTATCTGTGTTGATTTTGAAACAAAATTCACCAAGAATCACAGAGGAGGGGAATTGCAAATAATGCAAAGAAATGTAATTTAGCACATCTTGCCGCCCCTTCGAAAGTGGCGCAATGGGCTATAGCCCAGTTGGCCTATTTATAACCCGGAGCCTGAGTATGTCAATTAATTTCTAATTTGAATATGTAAGCAAGTACAAATTCTGCACAAATTGTGTGCAGATGAAGCACATTTTTTAAACCCAAGCAGCTTAGCATGACCATCACCAATGGATATATTTTTTCTAGACCTCCTAATCTTTTTTTGTGAGTACGCTCCGACAATCCCCTTTTGAGATATAGGAAATTATATCCGATCACGATAAGCCCCCCCCCCAACCCCCTATTTTGATAAGGGCGGTTGTTGAGACCTTTAATTCGAACAGGTATCAAATGTTGCTTTGACTGACACAGCGATATTACGTTGCAGATGCTTCAAGAGTCGTGGCAAAAAATCCAGTCGTGGAAATGGACGGCGACGAGATGACCCGTATCATTTGGGAGAAAATTAAGGAACGATTGATCTTCCCTTACGTCAAAGTGGAATGTCTGTATTACGATTTAGGGTTGCCTCACAGGTATTTGCAGAATCATACAAGGCGCATATTTAACTTTAACTCTAGGGATCAGACGAATGATCAAGTGACGATCGATGCAGCGCACGCGATCAAAGAGCACAATGTAGGAATAAAATGTGCGACCATCACACCCGATGAGCAAAGGGTCGAGGGTAATAATTGCGTTAAGCTTGTTTATTTTAATGCACTAGTTGCGTTTCAGAATTCAATTTAAAAAAAATGTGGCCGTCTCCCAATGGAACAATCAGAAACATTCTTGGAGGAACTGTATTTCGCGAACCGATTCTATGTAAAAACATACCTAAGTTGGTTCCAGGCTGGACATACCCTATTATAATCGGGCGCCACGCTCACGGTGATCAGTATAAGGCAACAGACATTATTGTTGACAAACCCGGCAAGGTTAGTACAGTCTGTTCGTCTTAAGAACTCAATCGTTTTGAGTACGCAATTTTAGACAAGTAGACAGCGACACAATGGCTTAATTGGTTTAAGGACGGACTATGGATGCAATCGCCTTGGTCTGTGTCTTTAATATCTATTTGTACATTTTACTCAAAATGTCTTGTTTTAATGCGCAAATGGGGTTTGACATAATAATATCACAATCGTACATACAGACAGTCATGCTTTCCGCCTTCTTGTTATAGGTAGAATTAGTTTACACATCTAAGGATGGGAAAGAAAGAAGATATGAAGTATTTGACTATAAAACAAGTGGTGTAGCGCTCGGTATGTTCAACACTGACGATAGTATAACGGCGTTTGCCCACTCCTCCTTCCAAGTTGCTCTAAGTAGAAAGCTTCCACTATATCTATCCACAAAAAATACGATTCTCAAGAGGTATGATGGCCGTTTTAAGGACATGTTTCAAGCTATTTATGAAAAGTAAGTGACACCTGGCGTTTTTTGAGAAACTACACTTCATGTTAGGCACTACAAGTCACAATTTGAAGCAGAAAAAATATGGTACGAACATCGATTGATCGATGACATGGTAGCCCAGGCGTTGAAATCTTCGGGAGGTTTTGTTTGGGCTTGCAAGAATTACGATGGTGACGTACAATCCGATATTGTCGCACAAGGTTATGGGTCCCTAGGTATGATGACGTCAGTTTTGATGTGTCCTGACGGTAAGACGTTAGAATCTGAAGCAGCCCATGGCACAGTCACCAGGCATTACAGGTATGTCCAAACATTATTAGCAAAAATTAATAAATTAATTGTAATAGAATGCATCAAAAAGGACACCAAACGTCTACCAATCCGATCGCGTCAGTGTTCGCGTGGTCGAGAGGTCTAGAACATAGAGGGAGATTAGACGACACACCTGAATTGATACGATTCGCGACATCTTTGGAACAGGCATGCATCGATTGCGTAGAGTCTGGTAAATTTACAAAGGACTTGGCCGCCTCGATTTACGGCGGTATGGCCAACGTCAAGGATAATATGTTCTTAAACACGCAAGATTTCTTAGAAGCTATCGCCATGCAACTAGAAAGCACTCTAAAAAAGCAATAAATTAAATTTTTATTGGGAGTATCTAAAGGATAAATCAATTTGTAAATTTACGTACAACCATTTGCTAACGTGAAGGTTAGTATAATTAAGTATTGATTGTGGTCTATTTAAAATAGGCCATTTTAATTTTAACTTAATTTTTTTATTGATGTGAATGTGGACGGTCACTTGATGTGCAAGTGAAATTTTAGATACTGTACAAAAACAAATAAAGTATTATTTTATACAAAAAATATTTGATTATTGCATTGGTTTCTTCGATAAAAATCTAATGACTAATTCTGGCGCATGCTTTGTTTACTAGCGTAATACTTCAATTGGCATTGGTATTACAACTGACTGACGCACAGTTCGATTTGCTTACATAGCAAACGCCCATATTTCTCGAAACTTCTCAAATGCTCCCGAATCTTCTAGAATGTTCTTGAATAAACACGTTTTCTTTCTCAGACAGTGTGCGTAACATCCTCTTTCGTTTCTTATCGCCGATAACTAATCTTTTATGGTACCTACATCTCCATCTGGATTTCTAGAATATTCACTACACTGCCTACCGCTTAAAACTGTTGTGTCTCGCAACACAGACGACGGTTGTAGCAGAGCCGCAGTCCCAGGCGACTCTTGTTTTATGGCGCGACCTTGATTGCGGTCTTTTGTTACCAGATAATAAAGGAATCGTCCCTACTCCTGTAGGAAATTCACTCTACCCACCTTGGGATGGTGAATGTAAACTTTTTGTAAGTGCCCAAACCGGAATTGGAATTTTACGGCCATCCCTGGGAACATCTTGTCATCCTTGTTATATTCATGCGTTCTACCATCTCGTCTGACTGTGGGGCAAAGCAGTCATTTTGGTCTTGCGAATGCCCAATAATTGGCACAGACTTTGGAATAGTGCCGACTCAAAATTTCGTCCCTGGTCAGAATGTAGTTCCAAGGGTAAGTTGTTTTTACCAGAATGTCTGGCACAGTTGTCCCTTCTTGATTTGGTTGAGCATATATGCTTCGCTGTCCATTTGCTGAAGTAGTCTATGAGCACCAAGATGTATTTATTTCCAGCAGCTGTCTCTGGGAAGGGCCCGCCATATCAATGGCTATTCTTTCAAACGGACTATACCCATCATTGTCGCCTTCTTCTTTCCTTGTTGCTTGTGACACAAAATGGACATTTTCTGCATCATTCCTTCACATCTTGTTTGATGTGTGCAATTCAACCAATAGAATCGTTCTCGTCACTCCTAGATGTCCTCCAAATATGCCATCGTGCATCTGGCGTAGTACTTCATACTTTCTGCTCTTCGGTATCACTATAGCTGTTCTACTTCACTTCCAATCGATGTTACAACTGACTGAAGCACAATATTCGGTTTGCTGATTTAGCAAACACCCATATTTCTCGAACGCTCCCGAATCTTGAACGCACTTCTTATTTCCCGGAAAGAATGCGTCACGTCCGCTTTCGTTTCTTACCGCCGGCGCCAATGACTAATTTTGTATGGTCCCTCGATATGTGTATCGGAATTTCTGAAATATTCACTACAATTCGTTAATCTATCCTGCAACATACCTACTCTGGTGTAAATAACTTTATTAGTGTCAGCTTGGAAAGGGTTACGATGGATAAACTATAGAATTGTTAAACGTTTGAAAAACTTTCAATTTATTTTTTTCCAAATGATGGAAAAATTCAAATGGTTTCATACTCGTATTTTTGTGGTCTAATATATTCCTCAATAGAAGATCATTTGGGTCGAAGTTGGTTGTTTGGAATCTTGTGCTTGTACATGATTTGGGTTCATTGTTTCCAATGTCGCAATATAAAGAAATTGAAACAATTTACTGTTTGCTTTCTTCAATTATACGTAAATCTCTTACAGAGCTAATTGGCTGCTTAAAATGCTACTTCTAAAGTGTTTTGTGAGATTTTCTTTTACACAATTTCTTTAAAATTGGATTGAGAATGCATTTTTCTATGGTCAAAATCAAAATAACTGCGCCAATTAAATAGAAAAACAAAATCGATGACAAAGAAAAGACCATAAAAATTAGCCTTTTATAATTGCTCACCCAGGTTTAATTCAAAAATTATTTTATGATCAAAATCTAAAAACTAGAACATTTGTTGCGCACCGGGTAGGTACAATGTGCTTGGAACTTTTCTCTTTCTAATTGCCGCACACATATTAAAAACAGTCAGCTTTTTTATGCGTTGCCCATTTTTACAATTTTGTACAATTGGGGGTTTATTGAAATCAATCCAAATTTTGAATTTAAAATTTCACCGGATCAAGGAATCGGAACCGAAAAAACCGGAACCGTAGCCGATTGCATTTATAGGCCCCTCACTTTGGAACCGCGAACCGTTATTCAAAAAGTTATAATAATGGAAACCGATACCAGTATCCTTTATTATTAGTGCCAAAAAAACCAATTATTTTTCGGTTCTCTGTTGTAGGCAGTGGCTGGATCCAGAGAACCTTTTCAGGGGGGGGGCACATTGTGTATATAAAACTTATTTAACTCCATCCCCCAATTACGGTTACGGAGAACAGATTGTACGCACAATTTTAGAAGAATAAGTAATGGAAAGTAGAGAATGTAATGGATTTAAAAGCGTACTTTTTGACTTTTCGTCAAGCCTTTTTGACTGGTTGTAGGTGCTACACTGTGTGAGAGAGAAATTCTTTTATATTGATTTTTTTTAATTCGGTTCTGAAGTGTTGATTTAACATTAAGGGTTAGGTACTGGATATCATTATTAATGATAAAATATTATGTGCAAGATGGGTTGGGTTAAACGTAACCCTGCTCATGGCCATTTTACGTACTTATCACAAAAGTCGGTGTCCAAGTGCAAACTTGACCGTACTAAAGTTCAGGTAATATAAAATATTTTAGAGTACCTATAACTATGATACCGAAACTACAGATAACTGAATCAAAAACAGTAAGAGGGTTGTTAAAGGTGCGAAGAAAGCAATAGTTAGACAATGGATCATCATTTACTTTGCAAGGGATGTAAATCTCTATTGCTATTGAAAATACACGCACGCACCCAATCTAACGTTGGCCGCGCACTTGTGATTTTTTGGCGCAGTGGTTGGAAAATTGTAATCGCGAAATAATTATTTGTACAGCTAGTTTTGAAAGTGATACTTTTTTTCATGAATTTGTAGTTTGATTAATGAGGGCGAAGCCCGAGTGAATCAAGCAAAGTCATGAAAAAAAGACACTTTCAACACGTGTTGTACACGAAATTTTTTTGCATAGTGATCCTTAATACCCACAATTGCATAATATCATTGACATTCGCCATTTTTTGTGACTCAACAATTGAGCTATTGGTCATAGGCAGGACGAAACGCCATGGACATGTATATAGTAAAAGTCGTTAAAAAAAGTACCACTTTCCATACGATTTTTGGTCAAAAAAAGTCCGGTAATTTGACAATACAAAAAATAATTTATAGGGGCGCACGTGGCGACTAAATGATCGCAGTGTTCAAATGAATTCTGTTTAAACAGCTTGCGCGTTAGCTTTATTATTACGAGCGAAGGCGTAATTGGATTTATTGTTGCGACTAAACAGTCGTGCGGGAGAAAATCGCCAGTGCGCGCCTAGCCTAAACATCGAGTCCAAATTGTCATTAAAAAAGTGGCAACAACGCGGAACTCTTTAGGGAATTTTCAATTATTAAGTTCATGTTGGTAGCAGTGTCCATTTGCTTCTAGAATTTTGACAAAATTTTGGTCTTGTCTATCGACGACTGAGAAAATGTCTGTTCTGTAATGAGTTCATAAAAAATGTGTTTAAATTGTACAATCTAAAATACTGCAACTTTTGAATAATTAATAAGTTGTGAGAACATTATGTCGTCGTTGCAATTTGTTGTTCACCCTTTGCCGGGAAGTGAAGAACAATTTAATGACAGGTAAACGTTGTCTGCAAAATTTTCTTAAGATTTCCTCCATTACTTATTGCGTTCAATCTTGTTGTACTTCTACGAATCGTTATTGTGTACATTTGCTTAAATTTTATTCAGTTACTAATTTAAAACTACCCATTCTAATGTTGTTTTCACATGGACTGAATTGTATACAAAACAAGCAATGTGAATGTATTCACAGTAATAGAGTACTGTACTGAGTAGCCCTCACAATTGGTTCGGTCGTTAGTCCATTTGAGCCTACTGCAAGCACGCATGGTATCACTAGTCTGTTGTAGTTTGAGCAAGCATCATGAAACCAAAATTGTGCATTGGTGTCAAATTAGATTTGGACCAATGCACATTAGACAAACTGTAATCTGATTTGGTAATTTTATTTCAACAGATTGCGAGAAGTGGCGGAACGATTAAATCGCTTCGGTCAAACATCACACGCAGCCTTCGCAAATCTACGCATCGGCGTTAAACGTATAGCCCTCGGACCGGCGCACATCGCTATACTGTTGGAAGATGGACGAATTTGTCGCGTTTCATTTAGCGTAATATCTGATCGACTAGATCTCAGTAAAAATGATCCTGTCAAGAGGTAAGTTTAAAAAAATGTTTGCAGAGTTTGTATTGCTGATATCTCAAGGGTGCTATGTCAACTATAGTACTATGCAGTTTCTTTTATTTATGAATTGGGGGGAGTATTGGGATCTAGGCAAAATTGGGAATCTTTAAATGTGAGATAGAACAGATCCACACATGGTTTTTGAAAATGTGAAAGTTTCAACTGTCAGAATTTTCAAAAACTAATTTTGGAATTTGGTTTTAGACAAAGAGATGCTGAGAAACTATGTGTATCAGGTCTTATTATACAAAATACGTGAAACATGTATTACAAATAAATCCTCCTTTTACTTTGAATTTTGGGAAAATATTCATTGGCTAAAACATTAATTATGAACTGTGAGTTTATGAGCTGTTTTCAGTATGATACTTGCAGCTTGAATGGTCCATCGTAGTTGTAATAATCAATTTGTTAATTTCGGGTAAAAGACATTCATACAACTGATCTTAAGTGTTCTTTTATGCAGACCTGGCAGCGGCGGTGGCGGGGGTTCGGGCGGCGGAGGTGGAGGAGGAGCAGGCGGTAATAGTGGCCCTAGCGGTTCGAGTAGTAACAAACCACCGGGCAGCGGTCGACAAATAAATCGTACACGAGCTCGAATAATGAGATCTTCAAATACCGCCATTAGGGGCAGCAACCACGGAGGTTGGTCTTGATCCACCAATTTCTGTAAATTTACTGTGGTTTTCAGGTAGCAGAGGTGCACCTGTCATCATAGGAACTAGCAGTGGGGGAAGTAGTGGACGACCTATGGTGACGGTACCTGCACCTTACGTTCCAGAGGAATTAGTGACCCAAGCGCAAGTTGTGTTGCAAGGAAAAAGTAGAAGTCTTATCATTCGAGAGCTACAGGTATGGGTTGGATCATTGACGTAACGTGTCTGATATTTTTTTTGTATATAGCGCACCAATTTAGACGTAAACTTAGCTGTGAATAACCTATTATCTCGTGATGACGAAGAAGGTGAGGAAGGTGACGACGCAACAGACTCTTACGTGCCAGAAGATCTTATATCACTTCTGGATGGGGGATTCCATTCGGATCATTCCGTTATTATTGACGCGGACGCCATGTTCTCTGAGGACATGTTCGGTTATTCCGGGATAAGAAAGTAAGAAAATTAATTTTTTTGCAATTTCTGTCGATTTGGCCGTTTTTGTCTCTTTCTTTTTTATTTGCTTGTGTGTTCTAACTAACCTACATCGGCGATGTTTGACTTTGCTCAAACAAAGCTTTTTAAACAGTCGGGGCACTAGCGGCAGAGGACGCTTGGCAGATCGAGACGCTCCACCTTCGAATTCAAATTCTGGAGATCGAGATAGGGATAGTTTTTCACGATGGAGGGACCGACAGTATTTTGGACCGAGACGGTGGCTGGAGAGTGCTTTGAGGGATAGTGGTTACGAGAAAGATTCTGGTACGATTTTAACTGTTAGGCCAGTCAAATTATACAAAAAAAGCAAAGGTCGCAAACGTGCAGGTATTCACAATTTTTTATATGTCACAGGTAACTTATATGCAAGCTCTCAAAAATCAGACATGAGAACTGTCTGATTGGATGGCAAACATTTATTCCAAAACACAATGAAACACAATTAAAACAAAATCCGTGGAAGAAACAAAAGCTTACAAAGCTTGTTTCAGCATATTACCCCGCACGCAGACGGCCAACAAATAAAATAATAAATCTTAAAGTTACTTAGTTTTGTTAATAATCCAAATAATCTGGTCGTACTAAGTTTTGCGATATAAGGCGCACTTTATCAACACACAGACGCTGACGTTTCACTTTTTCTTGACGAATAAAAGGTCAAATCTTTGGGGGCTGTTCTGACGGTAGAAACTTTTAATAACCTTTAGAAAAGGCCAAGCTGTACTACACTGGCTTCCTTGTATGCAATTCTTCTTTATTTCTTAACAGCGATAAAACACATGGGTTAATTAATTTTCGCCTCATTTCAACGACCAGATGTGTCTTCTCACACCTGATCTAAATTACATAAACCACAAAGGCGATGAAATTTAAAGAAAAATCACGTATCTACATTTCTTAGAAGAAAAACAAACACTGAAATACAATTTCAAATAAAACAAACCAATTCTGTGCTTATTTTATAAAAAATGTACGTAATTGTAATAAATTGAAATATTCTCATATACAGGATATTTCATCATTATTTTTAGATGTTTAGATCAAAATAACGTCTACATGATGTTGTTTACACAAAGTAAAGACGGAAAAATTTTAATTTGTTTAAAGTTGCTTATAATGATCTAAAATCTAACCCGTCGATATTTGATGGGATTACCAAACCATGTCCAAAAAACTGTGATCGCAATAGCCACCTAGATCATAGTTATTTATGCTCAGAGATAAAATGTCACTTTACTTTTCCACTGTACTGGCATTAAATTTTCCGTAATTTATAACTAGGTGCAAGAGGCACAAATTTATTGCCTATAAAATCTTTACTGTATGCAAGTAAACACAAAGGTCCCAGTAAATTGATTTTTACTTTCGCTTAAGCATATTAATATATATTAATATGGTGGCCCTAACAGTGTGACAACACCTATTGAACAAATTTCCTGGAAAATGGAAAATTTCTCCAATAGGTATTCTTGCACGATTGTTGTGTTGCGTTGTGCGCAGGTGCACCATCCTGTTGGAACCAACAGCGTCCAACTTTTATTTTTTTTTTGTATGTGCTGTATATCGTATTTGTAATAAAAAATGCTACTCAATGCAGCATACTTTTTTACGGGCCATATAAAAAATATTGCATTGCAAGTCTCATATTTTCTCTAATTTGAACGTCGTCATGTCTTCTATGTTTGGACACAGTGTATCGTAATTATTACTAATTGGCTGCCATTTTTTTGTAATCAGTATTTTTTCACAAAAAATTGCAAACATTCACACAATACATAATTGAATGATAAAAAAAACTGTATATCAATAAAACTTATAAAAATAGGAGTTTCATATAACACAGACAAAGTCGAACAAATAATAGCACAACTCTTCCTGTAATAAAAAAAAACATCTTTGACATTTTTGCTTCCCATGAATATTTGAATTTCGGTGAGAAATTGATAGATAAACATTGGTTCCTATGTTTGTTGACGGAAACAGGTATCTGTATCAGAAACAGGTTTGTTCATTAAAATCAGCTCTATTCAGTAGAAATAGGTCCGTTTAACAGAATCAGGTTCGTTTAACAGACCTCTTTCTGTCAACTAACACAAGAACAGAATCGAATGACCTTGAACTACTCAAATTTAATTAAAAAATGTCATTTGAAATCTCAGAGCCTGCAGAGGAGAAACTGAACATAATATGGAAACTACTTCATTCTTACATGCATTAGTTTCATGTGTATCTTATACTAGGTGGCGCGAAATTAATTACCCTGTCGGAAGATGGTATTTTTGCAAAACGTCAACCATATTTGACATTTGTGAAGTAAACAGCTGCAGTATACAAACAGGCAAGCGTTTAGGCGCTTGACTCGAACACACTGGAACCACTTGAGACCTTGTAGAGTGTGGCTGTGGTTGCCGATGTCGTTAGAACAATGAAACAGCAACCAGACGATGGGCCATGCAATTGGGCATCACCAGAAAGGCGCTACAGCGAATTTTGGTGAAAGAATTTCGGCCATAACCAAAATTTTTGTTTTATAAAATCCGTGTATGAATTTGTGTTTAAATACGGTCATTGTTACTCGCGATCCCTACGGGTCCGTAATTAATTCTTAATGCCGGAATTGGATGAATGGGGTTGGTAAGTGTGTGGTTTCAACAAGACGATGCAACTGCACATACAGCACGAGTCACAATGGATATCGTGATGGAAACGTTTCCTGGTCGCGTAATCTCCCATTTTGGTGCTTTGGCATGGCTAGTAAGATCGCCTTAGAAGGAATTCCTTGGGGCTATTTGAAGCACCAGACAATTGCAGCCCTTAAGCAGAATATTCGACAGACATGCTAGTTATCAGTGGAAATCTCTGGGAAAAATGATATAAAACGTGCACAAATGTTACTGGCTGCAACGACTTAACTGACATCTTTTCCACTTGAAAACAGACAAAATTCTAAAGGTCCAAATAAAGACTTACATTACTCAATTGTTTTGTTTATTTAGGAAAAAAGTTATTCAAACCCAAAATTGGATGACTAATTTTGCGCCACCCTTTTCATTATCGTCTCTAAAAAAGAACTACAGATACTTTCATATTATTGACTCCAGTAGTATGTTAAAATGGACCTTATCCTAATAACAGAAACGTTGATACCTGCGCGTTTGCAAAAAAAAAAAATCAACCGATACAAATCTCATCCTGACCTGACCTTTTTATTAACAGATAGCAAAAAGAAAGACGCCGCTAGTCCCTTATGGATATCGGACGATTTAGAATTTTGGCCCGATTCATTTGGGCGTTTTACTCAGATTGCGGCACTGTATAGTGAGCTAATTGCCCTTTCAACAACTGGACAGATCTATCAGTGGCGCTGGAACGATTTAGAACCTTACAAGCATCCAGATGTAAGAAATTTGCCGGCATCGAGGAAAAAATTAATTAAATTAATTGCAGAATCCCAATATTCACCATCCGAAAGCGCAATCCCTCGGTCTTTTAGGCGAAAAAATTATACATCTCTCCGCTTGTTCGACACGGTGCACAATTGCGTCGGATAACGGTAAAGTGGCGACGTGGCTGGACGAGTTGTTGGCGCCTGCTTCAACGAAACTGGAGCATGCAGCTCAAGCGTACACTGAATTTCAAACGGATCGAATATCAAGTTTGCATACATGCCCATTGTACACTGTTGCCAGATTGGAAAGTGGTTCACTATATTGGTGGTACGTGCACTTTACACTCGCCCAATTAGATTTTTATCAATTTCATTGCAGGGGTGTGTTACCGTTCACTCAAAGGAAACGCTTGTGGGAAAAGTATCGTACTAAATGCAGAAAACAACGTCCCTCGACTAACCAACCTGACATTATCACTGGATCGCAAGTGTGTATGAAAAATAGTCCGATCTATCATCCTGGTGCGATTGCGTTTACCATCGCGGCGGGCGTGCCAAAAGTTGGCCAGTTACAAAATTCGGCATGGACTCTAAGCGACACTTGTACTTTCAAAATAATCAATACACAAATTGTCACATCAACTGCTTCAGAAAAAACACGCGACAGTGCGACTCCCGGAACGAGTGGACTAAGTAAGTCGTCTCCTTGTTATTTCCCATGTTGACAATGATGCTTAGGTAATTTATCGACAAAAAATTCAAATAAAGAAACTGCAGACAGAATCGATATGCCTCCCCCACCTTCTCCTGCTTCAAGCACATGCAGTGACACGGGTAGCATAACTAACAGTCACAGTAAGAACAGCCTGTTCTGTGTTGGTGGATTATACTTACTTTCTTTATAGAACGTCAGAAAAGGATGACGGTCTCTGGTACAGATGCGGCCAATGACCAACGAAAGGACGAAGAGGAATGGTTGCTAAGAGATGTGATTTTCGTTGAAGATGTCAGGAGTGTACCGATCGGTCGCGTGTTAAAGGTAGATGGCGCATATGCGGCCGTTCGTTTTCCAACCAGTCACTCTAAAGATCGAGATTCGAAAGATGCCGACGATATTTGGCAAGACTGTAGATTAATGCGGAAGGACGATTTGCAGGTAGATAATTGTGCGGTTTTGCATTGAATAAAAATTACATAGGAGTTCAAAGAATTGACAATTAAATTTTATATTAGAGGAGAAATGTTTTGAACTTCTGTTTATTTTTTATTCGATGATTTTAATTCACGTCCACTCACTTTATCAGGTGTTAAAGTCCTCCTCGACATCTCGCGTGCCCGATTGTTTTCAACGCACTCCAAGACGCATTCAAATTTCTGAGTCGAGCGGTCAAATTTTGACTATAGCGATCGACGGTCAGGGAATCCACGCGATTGTTAGATCTGGAAATAGATTAAGTTATGTTATTTACAATATCAGCAGCGGACGCGTCGAGCAAGAGAATCCGTTCCCTAGCGATACCGCTTCCTTTATGGGTTTATATGCACAAAATATTACACTAACCTGTCCCGGAGAGGTAAGAATAGACACGATGAGTGCGCATTCTCAAGCCATCTTTTTAGAGTACCGAGTCAGTATTAATACTACGAGATGGGAATAGTACAATATATCCGTTAGCGAAAGATTGTGCCGACGCAATTCGTGACCCTGTACCTCTCGATCTACCTCCGATACGATGCATCGGGACGGGGACTATCGCTTTAACTGGAACAGCGCAAAATTTGAAAAATCAAGTGGCCATAGTGGTTTTAGCGTTAGATCAGCAGATATTAATGCCCAAAATTTTGCGATGCGATGTGGAAGGCACCCGACAAATACTCGCACAATTGGAAGTTGACTCAAGTAAGTTACATACATTGTGTGTAAGAGATTTGTAATAATAATAATAATATTTATTACTGTTAACATGTCGATAAAACATTTACAGAAGTGAAAAGGAACAACACAACATTTATACATTCATGTTAAATTACACATAAATCACAGTCTTTAAATTCATTAATAGTATAAAATGCGCCTTCAGTAAGGAATTTTTTAATTTAGTTTTCAGGTTATTGTACGGTAAATCCCTGGTCTGGACAGGCAGCAGGTTAAAAAGCTCAAACGAAATATTTACAAAACTTCTGTGAGTTTTTTGTAATCTGTAATGCTTTAGATCAAGATTACTACAATTTCGTGTATTATAACTATGTATATCGGACCTTACACAAAGTTCATTGATACGAATCTCAGCATATAGAATACAGTGTAGTATAAATATGCAAGGAAATGTCAACAATCTGAATCTAATAAACACATTTTTGCAATCTTCTCTATACTGCAGATTGCCTATAATTCTAATAGCATGACGTTGGAGAGCAAATATTCGTGTTGCACTTGTACAATTACCCCAAACAATGTTACAGTAATATACTTGTAAGTGAGTCTCAATCACTGATAAATACACCATATGTAAAATATTAGGGGAAACGTTTTCACATAAACGCCTTAAGAGAAATATGTTATCGGAAATTGTTTTGGCTACTTTACTAACATGTTCCTTAAACGTTAATTTCGGATCAATGTTACAATAATAATAATAGTAATGTGTCTTTGTTAAATGTATTTACAAATACATTTAAAGGTGAAGATTAATTACAGTACCGGAAATATAACAAAAAGAAAAAGAAACTATTGCAACATAGTTGGTCTTCCACTTAACCCGTACTTTTAAATTAATAAAAAACAAAAATCTGAGTGGCAGCATAAAACTCAAATTGTAAATGTTCACGTTCGGTATACTACATAACAAATACTAAATTAATGGTTTTATATTCTCTCCAAAAGACTTTTTTCCAGTCTTCAACAGTCCAATTGTAGAGTTGTCGAGCCCAAATTAATCGTTTCTTTTTATAATTCCTCTTTCCCCATTTTAGCAATGTTATTGACTGAAACTTACCAGAAATAAGTTTTTTTTTGATTTGAACTTCTCTACAGGTAGAATAAAGGCAGATGAATCAAGTAAGATCGACAAATAAACATTGCATTCGGTTGTTCTATTCCAGACAACTTCAAAATTTAAATTATTATTCATAAACTGGCCAGCTGGGTATCAAGAGTAAAACTGAAGAAAGTAGTTTACATTAAATGGTCATGATTTTCTTCAGGAAAAGGGTTACAAACAACGATAGACCGGTAAGGCGTTAACTAGGTTTATCAGGGAATAAACTTTTAAATTTTATCCAATTTCCTTTTTATCGGCCAATAACTGGATGGGTGAATACTTTTGAGCCATAGTGTATATAGAAAAGGAAGATAATAGGAAAAAAACTTTCCAAATTTGGATGTATTGTGCTAAATTTGGAAGTCTGTTCTAAATGTTCCCCATGTTTCCCATACCTAACCATTTCAACTCTTTAAGTTTGTATGAGACGTGCTCACACGTTCTAATACCCAATATATCTTAGACAGCTGTTTTGCAATCTTTGAATTTTTTGAAAATAAAAAGCACTAAAAATGCAAATTTTGATATTTAGACTTTTTAGGTAATATTGAATGCTTTGATTTCTATCTTTTCAGACTGATGTTTCTGAATCGATGACTAAAAGTGTTGTAGAATTTTTCGAATCGATCATTTTTGATTTTATGTTTTGGCGGGCATTACACAGCTATTATGGTTAATGGGCCAATCCAGTCCTCTATTGATCTGCTGGGTCTCTGTATGTGTTCTTCTTGATAATTTCTAGGGCATGATGTTTAATTGTACTTTTAATCACAATAGCCGTTTCAGATTTCTCCATCTACATGACGTTTACACAAACATTCAGATTTCTAGATTCTATTATACTACCATAGCAAGGTTAAAGTTTGGGCACGGTAAATATCCGGCCCATTGGTATCCTAGACTCCCCAAACTGTGATTGCGGAGATCCCCAGGGCGACTTGAATCATCTGTTTTTTAGTTGTGTTAAGCGTGAGGCCAAAATTAGAAACCTATTAGAAAAGCTAAGCGAAAAAGGCGTAGCCTTTCCCATAAATATCACGACCTTACTACATAGCTGCCGTAAACCAATCTACGATGTCATCATTGATTATGTAAGAGCAATTAGACTAAAACTGTAACTATATGTGCGTCCATAGTATTGTAACCGTTACATTCATCTGTGTCCATATCCTTACATGTATTTGAACCTTCCGTGGCCATCCTATGTGTGGTACAAAGTCGCACTGATCGGCCCCTGTGCGTGAAATGTTAAAACCACTGTCTATCCCTAGTTTGAGATAACTACATCGTAGGCAAAATGGGCATGACCCCGAAAAGCCTTATTAAAAAAAAATGACGTTTACACAACAATATTTAAAACCATTTTCGAAATATTGCCTTGTAACGCTTTAAAAAAACACCCTGTATTATGAAAACATTTAGTAAAGCTTAATATCCTCAGCCGATCCTTCCACACACCACAATCTAGAATCAAGATTTTCATAAGTTCATAAGTTTGCACGCACGTCATAGGTGTATTACAAGGATGCTATATAATATAAGGATTGCTCGATCCCTATACTTGTAATGTTGCCCGCGTTTAAGTCATATGTGACGTCACCAACGGACCTGGCTGTCAGAATTGACAGTTATAATTTGCTAAGTTGTCAACGTTTTTGCATTAGCGTTATAACTGGGTGTGTAAAGCCCCATTCAGATAGGTGGTAGTGCAGTGCTGTTGCGGTGCGGTGCCTTTGTATAAAAGTTTGAAATACGTATATCCATATGACAATTCACAATGACATGTGCAGTGCAGACGAATTGCAGCCGCGTGCCGAAAGTATGTAAACTTCAAACTTTCTGCACTACCGTTAGCAAGCACCAATAGAAGCGCAACATATTTGTCGTGGCGATCTGTCAAAGCAAATTTGCTGCTGCTGATTGGTCATACTTGTGTAGGCGGGCCAATTTTGCGGTGATTGTGAAAGCAAATGTCAACATGACAGCACCATCCCGCACCGCATAACAAGGCAACAGCACCGCACTACCACCTATCTGAATGGGACTTAAGTGTTCGCTATATTGCAACAAAAATGCTTGGACGCCGGCGTGCAGTATTGGACTGTAATAACAATTTGGGGTAGTATTCACATTTTACACTCAACTGGCGCTCATTTTAGCCAGTGTCAAGAAGAACGTAGAGAAATCGTTATTTTAAAATGGACAAAGTTTAAATAAACTGATTTAGCTGCAATTTCCAGGGATGATGAAGAGTAAGAAAACAAAAAACGCAGGATGAAATGGGTTCACCACATTTTGAGTATTGGAAAAACCGAAGGAGAATTTGTAGAGTTGTAGTGTAGACGAGGAATGACAAGTGTTTCTAATTTAAATACCTACCTATATAACATCCATTTGGACGTATTAGTGCCCCTTCTTACCAGGCATTTTTTGAAGCGGCTGGTAGCGTGACCCCTTCACACGGTGCGATTTGCAGCGCCACAAGTAGCACGAAGCGATTTTCAGAAGCGCCTTTACGCAACAAAAGCGCACGTACCAATAAGGGGCGTCGTTTTTTTTTAAATTTGTGTCTGGTTTGAGGAGAGTTGATTTACTTGTGTATCATTTACCTTAGTAAAGAGCGTACATATTTGTGTACTGATATTTTGTATATAAAGCTAAGTTTGTTATGTTTAAGATTGTTATTACTGGTATGTGGGGGTTGTAGTTCGACTTTTGAAGGAAGGTGGAGCCGTATTAGGCAAAACACTTCATATTGTGTGGTAAAAACCATTGTAACACGGTGTGGCAAACTCCCAAATTATAACAGAAATTTGCAATCGATAGAACAGAATAAATGTGTAGGAAAGCATACGAACAGTGCTGCATTGTAGTTGGTATACCATTACACCAATGATTCTCTATGATCATTGGATCATTGCAACTTTTGATGTATATAATCTTACTTTTCATCATGTTTTTTGGCACTAACAGCATTTGTACTTTCTATTAGATACAGGGTATCTCATTTCTATCTTGAGGGAAGTATCGGATTCGAATTCGCCTTTAATGTACCTTCTTCTTTGCCAACACAGCATTTTGTATAATCTCATAACGCGATGTACTTTGTTAATACTGAAACATAACAAATAACAGGTACTACAACAATAAAGGTTTGTTTTATGATTTAAAGAAAAACCACATATTAGTACATCTGTACTAATATTTTTTTAATTTTCAAATTAATATTAATAGATATTTGATTATAGTAGGGTTTGTACTCTTTGAAGGGTATACATTTAAGAAAGGAATAATAATAGATCCTCACTGGGGTAGGGATTATATTAAAAATTTACGTAACCTAACGTGACACTCCACACTTAAAAGTATTATAATGCATATTCTTATACAATCTTCTTACAGAGGTTTTCAGAACCAGAGCTGGGACTAGCAAATTGTACTCGAGTACTGGGTACTGGGTACTTGCAGTAAGAGAGCAAAGAGTACAGAGTACCGAGTACTTTACTCATTGCACATCCCGCCGAGTACAAGTACTCGAATTTCAGGATTACTTTTTTCGAGTACATACGTAGAGTAAAGTATTTCTCAATCATATCACTCTTCACCTTCCCGTTCATGAACACGAATTTGATTCATTTTAATTTTTGGTGTGATTCCCGCTACAAACGAATCAAAAATCAATTCAACTAACAAGAAGTTCAATATGAAAATCTGATCATGAGTCATGATGATAGAAGGGCAGCAATATAAACAATATCTTGGGTAGTTATTTCCGTTTTGTTTTTAGACATATTTTAAAATCATTAATTTGTCTATACCTTTTTAACCTAGTTTTTAACAATGAGTAAATCTACCTTTACACTACCATACTTCTCATGTGATTTGTCATATGATAAGTAACAAGCATTTAGATTTGTGTTTACACTATACAATTTTTGGTATTATGGCTGTCATAATAATAATAATAAGTTTATAATAATAAGACAAATCATAAGGAAATAATATGGAAATAATACGTAAATCGTGGAATAGGGATGTTTCTATTTCTGCATGACAAATGACATGACTTATTTTAAATATCCAAGTGATCCCGCCCTTCTATGGTTACTTTTCGCATTTTGCTGTTGTACTTCATGTGTAAAAGCTAAATACTTGAGTAAACCAGTAAACTTTTGATTATATCATTGATTATAGGTGTGTATAATCAATGATTGTTGGTATATTACTAATGAAAGAATAAATTACATAAACAATAAATCGAGCAATAAATATTTACGAGTATATTAGTATTTGGTTGTCTGGTTATAGTGGTGTTTTCAGACACACATTGTCAAATAGTGTCTTGATTGGTAATTAACTCTTCAAATGTTTGGGGTAATCTTTCTAATAAGTGGTACACTCATCCGTGTAAAATTTTTAGAGCTAGCGGGATTTTCATACTTCAATTGTTTAAATAGCATTGTAGTTATTCCAAGGCCTTTATCTCGCCTCTATAACCATTTTGTTGGTTATTTTTCTTTTCTGCAATTGTCTTCGCTTCAAAACAATATTATAAGATGGAGATTTGGGATTGTATAATATTTTCCATTTTTAATTTAAATTTAGAGAAGTTATAGGTTTCGTAACTTCTGGTATTAAAAGTCATATGAAAAACCTGTCAAGTGTAAAGTAAAGCATTAAAACTCATACGAAAAATATGTTGGTAGTAAATATCATATAAAAAATCATGTGAGATATATTATAGTGTAAAGGTACCTAAAACAATTCACAAATTCCCTATCCGGTTTGTAATCATACTTGCAAATTAGTCAGCGTTCTTTATCTATGCTTGAGACAATTGACAACGGTGATAGAAAATATGCCCCTGGCCATGACTCATTTACCTCAAATGCCCAAAGCTCAAGTCTTTAAGAAAACACAATTGGTGAGTGTGGGTTGTCAATTGTAATGTAACATTTTTGTAATGCGCGTTTTGGAATAAAGTACTTGAAAAAAAAGTACCCGCATATTTATGCGAGTATCGTATATTTTTTATTCAGTGTACGGCGGGTACGAGTAACGAGTACTTTATGTAAAATGTATTCCAGTACAGGGTAAAGAGTACCCAGAATGTACTTGGAGTACAGTATTAGAGTACTTGTACTGGAGCACTTCCCAGCTCTGTTCAGAACACTATCTTATTTAATCACAATCCCTTTGCAATTAGAAGCATAAGTTTAATCAAAACTTTATTCCAGAAACCAATCCATCTGCACTCCAGAATGTTCTAATGGAACGATGTGATGGTAATCGTAATCTTTTCCACGCAATAGTGAATATGTGCACTCCTACATCAAATAAGGAAACTGACAATGGTACACATAGATTTTTCTAGAACCATAAAACATAACCTAACTTGTTACTTACAGAAACGAATAATGTTCCCGCATCCAATTCGAACGCCGGTCTGGAATGCATAAATGTGATAACTAACGCTCTAGGACCTAGATCGGTTTCTTTACGAGAAATGATGCGGCGAGCAATTCGCAGTGAACGAGACCTTAACAACTCAAATTCGATTGATCAGCAACCGTATGTTCAAGAAGATCATTTGCCAACTCCGAGTTGGCCGCCGGAAACTTTTGACGTGGCATCGGGCGACGAGGACAGTCTTATGGGCCTCAGCAGTTGTACAACTAATAAAGGTTCTACCAACTTGAATAATGCACCAATTAATGTCACTGTGGATCCGGCAGAACGCAGAAATAACGCAATGCAAATCCTGTACACCTTGTTATACGATTCGACTGTCCTAACTCCGCATCTCGTTGAATTACTTTCTGCCAAGTAAATATTATGTAAATTAAATGATATTAATCGCTTTACGAATAATTTTCAGAGATGCCCAAGGTCAAACTCCTTTCATGCTGGCGGTGTCTACACGTAGCTATCCTGCGGCCTTGCAAATTTTCGAACGTATTACACAATTAGGAACGCAACAAGAACAGAAAGAAATGATTTTCCCGACCGGTTCAAACCCAGACCATTCGCCTTTGCACGTTTTGTGTTGTAACGACACGTGCAGTTTTACTTGGACCGGAGCCGAGCACATTAATCAAGACATCTTCGAGTGTCGCACCTGTGGGTTAACCGGCACACTGTGTTGTTGTACGGAATGCGCGCGAGTTTGTCACAAGGGTCACGATTGCAAACTTAAGCGTACGTCCCCTACTGCTTATTGTGACTGCTGGGAGAAGTGCAAATGTAAAGCGCTTGTTATGGGCAACCAGGCGGTTCGTTATGAGTTGCTGACGCGACTTGTAAAAGACACAAACTTGGTTGTGCTGCCCAATTCTCGGTAAGCTTCAAACTAGAATCCTTGCTGCTATTAGTATGTTCAGAATATGTTGCGAGTTTGATGAGACAATCCCACGTAAAAAAAACGTAAAATTGTTATCAGTTATTGTGGACTTCCTTGGTGGAGCCCTTTCTTCTTCACACATTTGTACAATAATGCCAGATTCACATTTTCGTCTATACTGTATTCATTTTAAGAAGGTAGCGGTAGAAAGCATAGGGAAGCTTTGACCTTCAGTGTGATTGGTTAAAATACAAGTCAGTATTACAATGAACCATAAAACGACTGGTGAATTTTGTAAGGTGGTAGTTTATGTTGCCAACTAAACTGCCAAAGTGTCATTAGTTGTTATTGTCAAAGATTTATTTCTGTTTGCAGTGCTGAATATTTGTACTATACAATAATTTGGTCCTGTTTTATATTTTTCCTGTGTGTGTTTATCTTCAAACACAGCGCCATCTACTACCTTCTTATAATGAATGCAGTATACTAATGTTTATAAATTATGAAACACACTTTTATGTGTGCATATTCGATCTGGACTGCACTGTTTTGTATTTAATTAAATCTATTGACTTTGGTAAAAATGACAGGGTAGATTATCTAATAAAAAGATAACCTTCCTATTGATCAAGTCACCTTAGTACATAGATATTATTTTATTTAAAATACGAAAATCGATGGCTATATGAACATACTATCCATATTATGTTATGGTAATTAACTTTCACTTTCTTTATCATGTAATTTTAGAGGGGAGAGTATTTTGTTGTTTTTGGCGCAAACTGTTGGACGCCAAAATCAAGAACAACGTCAATATCGCGCTGCTCGTCCTAGGACCGCCTCGGCGAATTCTAGAAATAAAACGCCATCCTCTGACAGTAAGTGTTGGCCTTCTAGTTTTGGTTTAGCTTGCATATTAGTTTTAGTCGAATCTGATATGCCGGAACACGACTTGGAACCGCCCAGATTTAGTCGTCGTGCTTTAGAATGTTTACTGGGAGATTGGAAAGCGGTGCATAGCATGGTTATGTCGGGTGCGAAAGAGGACAAGGAACCTTTAAGTGACGATCAACCCTACATTGCTAATCAAACGGGAGCTACACTTTTAGACAAATTTACACATTATTTATTGGTTAAATGTTACCTTGAAGTATTAGAGGTGTTAATCGAGACGCTAGTAAGAGAAATGAAAAAGGGAGAGCCAGAACATAAAGAATTTGCCACGTCAGTGGCGAGGCGATTTGTTAGATCTGTGGTTAGGATATTCGTCATATTTAGTGTGGAAATGGCACCTAATTCTACAAGACGTCGAAGGTTGTTATATTTCACTTTAACTCAAATTAATTAGTTATTTTTAGTAATGTGAATGGGTACAATTTGCCGATAAGCAAGTGTAAGCGTGTGTTCCGCTCAATGGTAAAGGTGTCAATCGAGGAACTATGCGAAACCGCTGATTCGTTGATAGCGCCTGTAAGATTGGGGGTGGCAAGACCAACGGCACCATTTTCACTAGCAACTTCCATCAATGAGATAATTAATGTAAAATTATATTTGTTTTGGAGATGGCGAGGTTCATTGATTTTTTTTTAGGGATCTGAAGAGCTGTTCCTTGTCGACCCTTTGGCGCCCATTGGAACCCGTCCTTCTGTAAATCCGTCGATTTCTGAACCACTACCGTTTTTGGGAGAGTCTGTGCGAAGAGCAGGTTCGGCCAGAGATCTTGACGATACCAATGACGGCGAAAGTAAGTTATTCTAATCTAGGAGTAACAATCTACTGTGTATGAGACTGGAGCATATCACGGCTGTAACAAAATCTCCATCTCCATGAATTGAATTCTACGGCTAAAATTAAAAAAATGTAATGTTGTGATACATCAATATGATCAGGAAAAAGAATGCAAAAAAATGACGTTAACATGTACAGGGTGTTGTATTTAAAAAATACCAACTTGGAGTCAAATCAAAAACGGTGGTCAAACACTTTTTTTTGGCCACGCCACTGGATTCTACGTAAAAATCTAAAATAGGCAGTGTGTACTTGTTTTCTATGTTGCATGGGTAGGAAGATATGATATCCCAAAAAGTCAAACTTTTCATTTTCACCCTGTATCTCAGAAACAAACATGGTGAGTCACTGCTGACTGTGGTATTAACGTTTTCACAAAAAAGGGGAACAGGGTTGCGACAGTTTAAAAACGAAAGTGTCTATCTTTAAAAATGGGACACACAGTACACACATTTTTCTATACAGGGTGGTGACTTGCGTAGCGCATCATAGGGATTTCAATGTAAAATTCATAACATGGGATTATTGGCTCCCCAAATTATCTTAGAGCAAAAATGTATTAAGGTTTTTTGTAGAATAAATTATTTTACGTCAATCAACCGTATTAGTTTTCAATTTTTTGCATAATAAAGACGGAAAATTGGAAAAATAAAATCCCCATCTTTTTCAATAATCTGTGATGAAACGATGCGCAACAAACAATTCTCATAGACGTGTGCGAGCCTTTTTTTTTAAACACAACACCTAATTTTTAAATGAATTTGTTCCATATTTTAGCCACTCACTGTATATACCGTCCTCGGATTCGCAGGCGTACGCCACTGACTACAATTTGGAGTATCTGATTGGTAGCAAACTAATTTTAGATACCAAGAAAGACTTCTTGTTTCTTGAACAAAATTATATATTCAGTATTCCACATAAAATTTCCACCATGTATATCGTATTAAATGTTTATTGTTTTATCTTAATATTTGGTATATTTTTAGTCTTAGGGTAAAAAAAATGGCAAATCTAAACCTTTAATTGCAATTCAAATTATTAGTGTGAGAAAACCTGGGTCTCTTTACCTTAATACTGGGTGTTCATGTATTCATGGCAGCCAGTATATATTTTTTCAAACTTTGAAGGCACCTGGCAAAGTATAGGGGCCCACTAAACGATCTGGTTTATTGATTTTTTCGCTCTTTAAATATTAAATTTATAGGTAATAATTTGGAAATACCGTAAAAAATTCTATCCTATCCTTTAAGAAATCCGCCTCAAGCCCTGCTGGGAATTCTTGTAATTTCAAGCTCTTGGGCTTGAGGCTTTCAAAGCCAATCCTTCATATAGTTTTGGATTCGGCCCTACAAAAAAAAGTTGTAATTTTTTATTTTTATGTGAAAAAGTGCTCTAAAAGATTGCATAGGTTTCATTACATTTACAAATTTTGGAAGTTGTACAAAACACTCATTTAATTCTATCTTGTTTGGTATAACAAAAAATTTGAACTCCCAATTTCTCCGCATGGTCATTTTAATTAATAAATTGAATTTAATGGACAATTCCAGTAAATATACAGAGTGTTAATTAATTGAGTGTCAATAATACAGGGTGTGAATCCTCGGATGATAATAATAATAATATTTAATTGCCCAACAATTTAAAGAGAAAAGTTTATATCAACATATATGTCTTAAAACTCTTAGTTTTTGAGCTATGGGGTGTTAAAATTTTAAGTGAGTTTTTTAATCATTTTTTGTTGTACATTTTTTTTTTTAATTTTCACCAGTGACGTCCGTAAGGGGTGTGAATTGAGAATTTTATTTATTAAGTTTAGGACATATCTTGATATAAACTTTTCTGTTTAAAATCACCCAAGGATTCACACCCTGTATTATTGGCACTTAATTAACACCCTGTATATATGTGCAGTATCTTTAAGTAAAACATGTTATGAATTAGGCATGGCAATCGATAACGATGACGATAACGCATCAGAGCATGAAGACAATGCTGCCGAACACGAAATTTCCATCTCTGTAAGACAATCCTCACTTAACGTCGGAGAATCGTCGGAAGCTCCCGTCGATCAGCAAGAAAGCAATGCGGTTCAAGGCGAAGATAGTGACCCCGAGCTTGATTTGTTGGCTGAAACGGAGTCGGACAGCGACGACAATCACAGTAATCAAGATGCAGCGTCCGCACAAAGATCGGTTCAAACGGGAGCAACCGCCGGGTCTGACACAGGTTTTAAACATTGCACCCGAAATGTGATTTTTTCACCCATTATTATTGTAGGTATGCTGTTATTCCCCGAAGATGATAGCGGAGAATCGAGTCAACAGGAAGAGGAAGAAAGCGAAGCCGGCGAAACAGACGAGCAGGACACCGAAGATTACACCTTAACGGATGAACAGCTCGAGCGTCGCAGGTATTACTGAAATTTTCATTTAATGTTATTAGGCTTGGATTTGCAACCTTTTTTGTTTTGTTTTTTTTTTATTTTCGCATTAGTCAATTTGAGTAAACGAAAGATAGTTGCATGGAAGCCTTTAACTTTCTTGAAATTTGATATGCTTCTTTTGCTTTTGTTATGGTGATAAATTTTGGTTCTCTCTATGAAAGAAGCCGTTACAGCAATGTCACCGGACATGGCCAACGAAGTAATTTAGCGCCCCAAAACATGCAGTGGGCTATACGCTCGCGTGAAGCTAGCAGATCGACGGGCGTGCGGCTGTCCGGCGGATCTAATCTTGTTTTTATCGATCCAAGTTCTCTTAGAAGATCCACGGCGGGAAGTGCGACGGTAGCTGCTAGTACCGAACCTGTAACAATGGCAACGACTGCTAGTTGTTTAGCTAGAGCATTCGGTATGACATTAACAAACTGATTTGTTTTTGTGCTCTGTGTGAGATTAATAATTTCTTTTAGGAATTGTTATTAGACAAATTTCCGATTTATTATCGCTGATGCAAGATTTGCATATTATGCCCACTTCATTTGCTCACTTGGACATCTCTCAGGATGATATTTGTAATGTTCAGGTCAGTTTAAATGTGCCGACGGTGTATATGGGATTTAGATAGTTTTGTAGATTTATCTCGAATTCCGACTGAAACCGACTTGGGATTGGTTACTAACAGTTATGGATGCCACTGAGGCTCAGTTGAGATTTGGAGCTTCCCTGACTCACACAGCCGACCCGACGCATCCTGCCCATCCACTACACAGCTCGGGGGTGCATGTTGGAAGTAAGTGTTCACATTAAAAGTTTGTACAGACTAATTTTATTTATTCTCAAAGCTCCACCAGTAGTAAGAACGAGTCGTAGCCACGCCATATCAGGATCAACAAACACGTCGAGTGGTACTCGCATTGTTGGTTTCAGTTCGAATGTGGACGGAAATCGTTCCAGGCCAGAAAGAGACAGTAAGAGATCACATGTAACTGATTTGCTTATAGTAACATTCCTTGTATAATATAGATGTCGATGCACATTCAGCAAGAAGGGAATTTTTATCATACTGTCTGTCTTTGATGAGAGCTCACAACAGCGAACATTTAGATTCGTTGCCTATATTAGATGTATCTGCCTTAAAACATGTTGCATATGTTTTTGATGCCTTAATATATTACATGCGTTCGGGTTCGTCTGAAGCAGTCGAAGGTGATAGCCTTAGAGAGGGGTTACCATTGCCCCCATGGAATGATCAGGTAAATATAATTCTTTTTCTCAAACTGACAAAATACACCGTGTTTAAAAATAAATATTAAGTTTTAACTTTTTAAGGCTGCATATAGTGCTAGTGTTAAAAAACTTCCACAAAGAGTGTTTTCTGTATCTTCAGTTTGAGAAGGCTAGGTTATCTCTGGAAGTCCATAAAGGATAACGAAATATACTTTTGGTGTAGCATTCTTTCCATTTTTATATCAAAGTAGCAGTATTACTTTCATAAGTATTGGGAAACAGTTTCAACTGTCGCAGTCTATTTTCCTAAGAAACTTTGATTGCGCTTGTCTGTTTTATATTAAATATTAACGTGTCAATAGCGCAATATTAGAAAATGGTCCAATTCGTTTTTTTCAACATTTTTAAAAATATAAAAAAAACGTAAGACAGCAGTCATTTATACTAGAATTTTGCATTAGATTATGTTGTTAGTTTTTTTTACATTATACGGTAAGTTGTGCCTTATTAAATGGAAGATATACAGGATGTTTCTAAATATGATGTGCTAAATCTTTGGATTACTTTAAGATCAAAAGTTCATATAAACAAATGTCCACAAACACTTCTTTAACCAATCTACAGGGTTTTATAATTTCACCATACACTTCACAATTTACCTTTAATGTATAAACATATCCAAATACATACAAGAATTTCAAAACTGATAAAAGATTATCGAAATAAAACCAGGGCCAATGGACCATTTTAGAAATTTTACTTTTGTTTATCTAATTAGCAAAAATTAATTTTCTTCTCAATAAGACTCGCAAGAGACCAAAAAGTTTCTATACAGACCAGAAAATTAATTTCTTATTTTTCAACCTACCGAAAAAAATTTCTGAAAATGGAACATGCCCCTTGAAAAAAACATCGCCCTGTAGATTCTTATTACCATTTACATGTCCATGTTCAATGATATAAGGTAATCCATAACTTATATTAACGAAGATTTTCATCCACGAACTTATAAATTAAGATGGACTGCTGATCAAACAGTTGCATAGAGGTAGAAATGGCCCTAGCATGGGCGCTGCCATGATGTGCACATTTTAGTTATTTTCTAGGGGAATTTTCCTAGTACTCAAGTTTTGAGACTATTGCAGCCTTGGAAAATGACATGTGTCACAGTAATTTATTTAGAAAACGTGAGGTTAATTGGTGACAACAAGCGGATTTTTATAAACACTTATACACTTGTCACTGTCACATGTGGAGTGCACACGCTTGCATTGTAGGTATAGCTACTATACACGGTGTCCATTTTTCGAGTGCCACTATGGGGATCTCACTTATCTGAGAGAGATAGAAAGTTGGTTAAATGGGGGCAAAGTTGCAAATTTCCGTGCTGAATAAGAATCTGAAAAGAAATTTGAAATATCTTCAATACTTTTGAAGATATCACAAAAAACGAAAATTTCTGATTTTCGTTTTTATTTTTTTTATGATAAACTAGTCGTAGTAGACATTTCTAATTAGCACATTATTCGGACACTTTTTAATGGAGATTTCAAATATGGCATCCTGTTTTTAATTACGTTCAAGATGACGGAGAAACACGTGGCAACTTTAGTTTTTCTTATGGGCGCCATATTGAATTTTGACATTTTGGGATTACGTCTTTTTTTCTCTTTACAACGTTATATCACACATAGTGGTTCAGTATCACATTTTTCCTAAAAATACAATTTTTAATTTTTTGAGAAGAGTGCTTTGGAAAAACAAAACGTTCTTTTGTTATCAACAAAAGTTTGACAGTTTGATCCATCTGTCTGGTTGCAGCGTTGTCAGAGAAGTAGAAATTCGATTTTCATCTCAACCGCTTGCAAAATTACCTGCTCATATTAATTGGGCCTATCACCATATTGCTGTCTACATCTTTTAAAAGAACCATATTCGCCCAAGTGCAGCAAAGAAAAATACCTCAAACTAGGTTGTTGCCCCTCTGGATAACGCTGCAAAGTATGTTGCAGCAGTCATGTGGGCATTTCGATGAGAAGTGTAGTAAATTTGGATCATATCTCTTTGATCTGCACTTGAAAAAGGCATTTTCGCAATACAACTAGCATAAACCTAAATGACACTACATGAAATAAGTCAACCTTTTGTTCACAACAAAAGAACGTTTTGTTTTTCCAAAGCACTCTTCTCAAAAAATTAAAAATTGTATTTTTAGGAAAAATGTGATACAGAACCACCATGTGTGATATATTGTTGTAAAGGGAAAAAAAGACGTAATCTCAAAATGTGAAAATTCAAAATGGCGCCCATAAGAAAAACTAAAGTTGCCACGTGTTTCTCCGTCATCTAGAGAGTTATTAAAAACAGAAAGCCATATTTGAAATCTCCATTAAAAAGTGTCCGAATAATGTGTTAATTAGAAATGTCTACTACGATTAGTTTATCATAAAAAAAATAAAAACGAAAATCAGAAATTTTTGTTTTTTTGAGATATCTTCAAAACTATTGAAGATATTATTTGGAATGTCTTTTCGGATTCTTATTCAGCACGAAAATTGGCAACTTTGCTCCCATTTAACCAACTTTCTATCTCTTAAGATCTGTGAGATCCCCATAGTGGCACTCGAAAAATGGACACCGTGTATATGTCGTAGTCTTTTAGTGAAATCCGTCATTTCACAAAACGCCTAGTGCGAGGCCTAGTCATTTAGTGAAACGCTGAAAATTTGTACGTGTGGGGTAATTTCCCTTCCCCTTCTAGATCGATAAGGATACCATTTATCGATTTCCAATGGGAACGGAATCCAATCGCTTGGCCCTGGAAAGTACACTACCACAGTTTCATATAAATGACTAAAAGACTACGACATATATACCACAGCTGACTCGTCCATAAGCTGATCCGCCATTATGGAGCCCACTGACAAACGCTTGCAAAACGTTATTGTCTTGATCATTTAAAGAAAAACCATTGATGTTTTTAACATTTATTAATGCATCAAGGTAATTAAAGTAATATTTTACACATTAAACAGTTTTCCTATGCACAGGTTTGGACTGTCAGTGGGCTCCAAAATGGCAGACGAGTCTGCTACATTAATCGAGTACTGTAATTATTGTAGATGAATATCATTAACGTTTTACTGCCACGAATTTTTAAAATTAGTTCACATATTTCCCGTCGCACTTCTTTGCTTGGCGGCACTGTAACATAATTACTGCCGGGCAAAATGAATGATGGATTACTCGATTACTTGAACATTTTGCTCAAAGGACATTTTTATTTATTTGTCAAAACCTTTTCATTGTTATAACATAAGCTTTTATGTGACTTTTTTATATTTGCATTAAATGTTTAATGTATTGTATCTCCTTTATTAATCAAGTAGTTAGGTGTTAAGAATGTTTTATGCTTTATTATATTTTCTTTCAAAATATGTAAATATATACAGGATGTTCTAAATCATAATGCTTGATTATTTCCTAATTTGATTTTTGTAATTCTACGAAGAATTTAACCAATTCTTAACCCAGTAAGTTAGCAATAAACAGGAAATTAGTTGGAACGGACTGTATTGCTACCACAACTGTTTCCTTTATTAGATTGAAAATATTACTGTTTCTAGGATGAAAATGAGAATGAGGAAGGTGAAGAGGATATTCCTGTGGCAATGGAAACTGAATCTTTAGACGACCAGGACGTTTCAAATTTGGCTTCCCTATCTAACACGCTAAATTCCACCAGTGCCTCTCCTCACAGCAGCGGGAAGGGACGAAAACATTCTTTCTTTCAGGTACTTGCCCTTCTTTTAACCTTTGTTTTGAACAACTCCTTTTAGCGATCGGAATCAACACTTTGCTTGGGATGTCCTCCGCCCGATCCATTTGAAAGTACAATGGCAGAAGCGCTACCACTAGCCGATCAGCCGCATTTATTACAACCGAACGCGCGAAGAGAAGATCTGTTCGGTATCCCTAAGCAGCCAATAACTCTATCGAGTACTGGTGGGTACACAGGATGTGCAATATTTTGGCTTTAACTTTGTGTTCCAGGTTCAACTTCAAACAATCCATTAGGAACTCTTCCCACATGCCTTGGACTTTCAAGTCGTTCTTCAGATTATGTTATGAGCAATCCAATCAAAGCCAATCAGCCAATTCCGTCCTCATTTAATGTGATGGGTCCCAATCCCCTGTCGTACCCCTCGAATTACAGTTTTGACCATGACAGCAATACCGCTTTTGATCCTAACCCACCGGATGGCGACAGTGATATGAAAGTTGACTCTAAAGATGAAAGTGCGATTGTAAATAATGTGACATGTGATAATACTATACCGCAACACGTAGAAACAAATAAGACTTCCATTCGAAATTATCAAAACTTTGAAACTTTATTGGCAGCTGTTAGCAATGAAACTTCAGCAGGTTAGTATGGCGCGATTAATGGCGCTCGTTAACGCTACATCTGTTGTAGAAGTACACGAAGATCGACCTCAAGATTTATCGTGCAATAAAGACCAGGTCGGATTCGGTCAGGATCACGATTACAACTCCGATACTGAACGTAACGACACAAGAGCCCTACCTTCACATTCTTCGGTCATATCTCCTAGCTTATTGGCGGCAGTTGGACTCGAACAGGGGCTACCCGCATCACGACCTCAAATTATTGTGTCTCCACGTAAAGTTGCACTAGACGATAACACTACCCCAAACAACAATGGAATGTTTGTTACCCCTCCTAATTTATTAACGACTTCTGAGACCAATCAAGAATTCGAAATACAAAAGTCATGTATCAGCAGTCCCACTTCCAACAGCAGTCGTAGTCCCTCGAAAAGCGTTATCGTTCGTGCGGGCACCTCTATGGTAAGTTGGAGTTCAACTTGTGGGAGTCGCATACGTATGCAAATGTAAAAGACTGTTTGTATATCACTTATCTCCCAATATTATTATGGTTTTCTGATGACCGCAGGTAGTTAAGTTACAAACTGTGGACAGATACGAAGCCTACAGCACTAGCTTACAAAAGTGTTGTCTTTTTTATTTTCACTTGCCTATTCCAGAGTACTAATCAAGAACGCAAGGTGGACGAAGCTGAAATTATGTCCATCGAAAACCAACAAACGGAATCGCTCGAAAATCAGGAAATATCTGCGAATGTTACTGTTGTAACGACACCCAATACCAACATTCAAGTGGATAGACCTACAATTGGCCAGTCCGTTTCACACGATCTTCTCTTGGGGCGTTGGAGGTTATCGTTGGATTTATTTGGGAGGGTGTTTATGGAAGATGTTGGTTTGGAACCTGGATCTGTGGTTTCAGAGCTGGGCGGATTTCCCGTGAAAGAGGCGAAATTTAGAAGAGATATGGAGAAATTACGAAACAATCAACAACGAGATTTAACTCTTTCGAAGGTATATAAAATTGTAACACAAATAATTTAATCATATTTTCACTTTTTGCGAATGAAATTGTGTGGTCGGGTTCTTGCAGTCAGGTTAGTGTCTATACGATGTAGAGATTTTTGGAGAACAATTTAAATATTCCATATCCACTGCTGAAAATGTATGCATTCTATTATAAACTTGCTGAATTTCAATTTATAATAGAAAACATATACATATTTGGTGTTTTGTTCAGAATTTACAAATTAAAACTTGTGTTTTGATTTGCCACGTTCTTTCTTTTAATTTATGGAGATTTGAATAATATCAAAATGATTTTTCTGAATGTTACACAACACTAGAGATGTTCCAAGACTAAAAGATGATGAGATGCACGTCGGGTATATCTGGTACTTCACGATCGTGTAAAATAAATTTTAACAAAAATATCGACCTTAAACATGATGTGCGGTTCTTTCAGTTAACATTCCCGGCTTTTCACTGGCGTGTAGCGTGTTATTTCCATAGCTAGAACATAAATGGGTTTACAGTGTTGTGGTTCACATCAGGAGCATTTGAAATTCTTACTGGTCTTTTGTATTAACAAATGGATTTGTACTTGGTGTCAAAATCACACCACTCACATTTTAAATCCTCGCCAAATCCATGTCAACAATGGTAAGATGTTAAGATGTGTTTGTTGTATATCTAGTAGGGACAACTGTATTCCGCTAGGTGGCGATTTTAATAAACTCCACCTTAGAAAGAGACACAGAAAGAGAGAGATAAAGTGTGGATAATTAATAAATAAAGGAGACGGGTTTACCTGTATGCAATTAATCATAATTTATGTAAATTCTATATACTTTGGTCACATTCCTTTATTGTAAGGCATTGACAAATACCATACTCGATCCTGAAATGTACTTTCCATGAACACGCACAAGAGTTTCTTTTATTACTCAAAAAATGATTATAGTCGAGCCTCCAAGCAATGGTGATAATTTACGAATTATTTTTTTTGTCTTTGTCCTCACCCCAAAATTGAAATTTTTTAAAGAAAGCGATAGTGAACAAAGTTATAATTAATTACTATCATTGCATTAATGATCATGTAAATAAGTGCATTTCAATGAATGCATTATTATTGTGAGGCTGTGTCGTGTCTATGAAACATCTCTATAAAATTAAAACACAAATAAGAAAGTTTTTAATGGTTCACAATGTTAAAAAATATAAATTAGATAAATTTCATTTTAAATTATTTTTCCAATGTAAGATCTCTGATCTTCATTACTCTGGGAACTCGGGCATCAATTAATTCAGGAAGATTACATTTTTTTATAAAATACGGTTAATTTGGGAAGCATTACATTTCGCTATAAATGCTGGTCCTTTTAAATTCGTTCAACATTGAAGTCGTTTTCTGCATAAAGCACAACATCGCAAAACAATTAAATAATTAGCAAATAGTGACCTGTCATTAATTGTCTCTCATAAACAGGAAACAAAGTGATTGAATACCCGCATAATTACTAATAAATTCCTAATTATAATCTTTCTAATTTTAGTATATATGATGACTATATGCTCGGTTACTTTGTATGTGGTTCGTTTTTTGTGGACACAATAACTAAAAAAACCCTGAACCGATTTGGACGAAATTTGGGGTACATATAGGGTGGTATGGGGAAACAAAACCTACCTATTTTGGTGTTGATCCTTAACCATCTTCATGATTGTTGAGGGTGTCCAAAGTTTAAAAGAGCCATAACGGCTTGAACAAATTTTTTTTAGTGCCTAAAATGACTTAACACTCTACAAAAAAGTTCATTACAATTTTTTTGTGACTTCCTTAGTTTTTGAGAATTTTTGAATTGAAAAGTTAAACTATTTTTTTTATTTTTCTAAATTTGCATTTTTCTCTAAAAGTAAGCATCAGACTGAAAAATGTTAATTACAAAAAAGATGTGTCTTGATGAGATCTACAAAAAAGGCTTCTGCACTTTTTGCGTCGGGTTCAAAATAAAGGCGCTAGGGGCATTTTCTAAATGTTATTATTTGACCAAAGATAATTGCAATGACTCGATTAAAAGTAGTCGGAAGGTCAAGTCAGGAGTTTATCTGACAACTAGTTTTGTTATTATTATTATTTCTTAGAGATAATTTTTGAATATGTCATTTTTGATTCTAAAATACCTTTTATTAGTTGTTTTTTAGTAGTTTTATGCATTTTAAGAGTTGTATACTTTTCAATTAGAAAACGAACTTCTTCTTTATGTTTTTATAATGGGTTGATTGAAAGGTAACTGGATGCTCATTGGTTCATTTAAGTTTATTCTTAGCGCGCACTTAGATCGACGCGACAGGATGTACACTCCAAAATTAACCAATATGAAACTCTTCCCAAAATATCCATTTCGTTCATTTTTGGTTCATGGCTAAAATTAAAAAATGTGCAGGGTGTTTTTTGGGAGGTTTTAGTTAAACGTTTCTGGGAAAGTAAAATGGGTAGGTTTTTGAAAATTTGTACTTAGGAGTACATGATGTAAAATATTTTCAAAACGGTTGCACTTCCGGAAATACCGGAAGTAGATAGTAACTTCGTTATATTAAATGGCAACCCAAATTTTATTCTTTCATTTTTGGAATCTACGTGAAATTTCAGTTCTTTTGATACCCACATGTCGGATATCTGCCATTATGGTTTTTAAGTTATTTTGACTTTAAGAAAAAAAAATGGCGGATGCAGATGGTACCTTGATAATTGATTACTTGGGTTGTAGTCATGGCAACCCATTTTTATCAGTTCATAGAGAATGAATAGCGCTTTCTTGTAGTGTACTTAAAAAAAAGTTAAGTTGCGTACAATCGCACCCAGAGCTGGGCAGAATACTTTCAAAAAGTATTTGAATACTAAATACTTTTACGTCCAGCACAAGCAAATACTAAATACAGATACTTTGAAAAGTATTCAAATACTTTCAAACATAAGTATTCAAGTACTTTAGAATGTATTCGAATACTTTCAAAAAAATGTGAATACTTTCAAAGGGATTCGAATACTTTCCAAAGTATTCTAATACTATCAAAGGTATTTGAATACTATAAAAAGTATTCGAATACTTTGAAAAGTATTCAAATACTTGTAATTTTAAACAAATCTAGGAAATGATTCTTTAATATCATTGATTCTAGTCTAAATAATTTATGCTCTCTTTGTCCTATAATTGGATTGAAAAGTCTGTAGGACAATAAACTCTATTATTATTATTATTATTAATTGAAAAACACAAACCTATATGAAAATAGGATCAAATTATTTTAAAACCCTCTCTTCTTCAACACATGCTCAAAATGAGAGCCTTCGTGTTGCAAACACAATTCAATTCATTTTCTTAAATATTCTCTTGTAGAGCTTTGTATCACTTGTGATTCAACGGTTTGTAGTGCATTTGGGGATACAAAATTTCCAAAATTCATACAATTTCGTGCCAGTGTTCAAATGAATGTACGGCAAGCGCATGCCACGATTCTGTCCATTTCACCATAAATAACAATTAACTTCCAAAATAGGTAAAACCAATTGCGAGCCATATTTCGATTTTTGAAAAACTTCTGTTAACCTATAACAGGTGACGGATTGGTGTCACTAGATTTGTTTAAGATTAGGTTGTTATAATAAAATCATGGCCGACTACTAAAAAGAAAATCCGAAAAAAATAGTGTCAATTCAATAAAATGGGAATGTCAGAAATTGTTAAAGATAGCTATAGGAACATGTATTGTCAAAATACGCCCATTTCGATTCTTTATCTCATGCAATAGTAAGAAAATGGCCATTCCATTTAAAAAAACTGAGTTTTTAGTCTTTGAAGTTTCATAAATTTGGATCTCCATAGGTGCAGTTGTACGCAACTTAACTTTTTTTTTAAGTACCCTAAAAGAAAGCCCTATTCATTCTCTATGCACTGATAAAAATGGGTTGCCATGACTAGAACCGTTTTCAAGTAATCAATTATCAAGGTACCATCTGCATACGCCATTTTTTTTCTTAAAGTCAAAATAACTTAAAAACCATGATATCGACATGTGGGTATCAAAAGAACTGAAATTTTACGTAGAATCCAAAAATGCAATAAAAAATAGGGGTTGCCATTTAAAATAACGAAGTTACTAGCTACTTATTTCCGGAAGTGCGGCAATTTTGAAAATATTTTACATCGATTCGGCCTTCAGAGTAACTCCCAAGTACAAATTTTTAAAAACCTACCCATTTTACTTTCCCAGAAACGTTTAACTAAAGCTCCCAAAAAAAACACCCTGTATTGGTTGTGATAAATCAATGTCATCAGGAAAAAGAATGTAAAAAAATGAAAAATATACAGGGTGTTGCAGGGGTTGTTGTGATCACCTTATACAGACATCACAGATATTGAAAAAGATGCGGGTTTTATTATTTTTATTTTTCCTCTACGATGAAAAAAATTGAAAACTAATACGGTTGATTGGCGTAAAAAACATGACGGTTAAGCATTCAAATACTCTTCCACCGAATAGTATGGGTGGTTGACCAAAAAATCCATAGCATCTTATTTAAAGCGTATATGTGTGTTATGTTTTCGTATATCGCAAGGCAGATAGTTGAACAACTTGATGTTTGTGTAAAGAACCTTCATGCATTACATTTATATTTTACTTACAGATGGAGCGGGATCGAACGCAACTGTTATTACAAACATTTAAAGAGTTAAATACCCAATACAATAATTACAACAGGCGAGCGTCTACGTCCCAGCCGCCCTTGGCAGTAAATCGGGTCAAAGTCACATTTCGAGATGAACCAGGTGAAGGTTCAGGGGTTGCACGTAGTTTTTATACAGCAATCGCGGAGGTATTTAGTTGACTGCGTCTTTAAACACTCCACCAATCGGAACATTTCAGGCAATTTTAGCAAATGAAAAATTACCCAATTTGGAATCGGCGCAGGTTGGAAATAATAAATACGCCCATTACAGTGTTTTGCAGCGTTTAAGGAGAGATAGAGACTTTTTAAGAAGAACGGCTCCATCACGTGGAGCCGGATCTAGGACTCGGGATCATCACAGACGGACTATGAGCGCGGAAGCGCGCGCGTTTGTCCCCGGAGATTCTGTCAATACTGAGAACCTTTCCATGCCCGATATATCCAGTGGTAAAAATTTACTAACGACTGACAGTGATTAAGTATTCCGCTTTTAGGTACGGCTGCTGCACAACCACAACCCGTAAATCTCAATGAGCATTTAACATCTCACCAACAACAACTTGGAAATCGTCTATACCCAAAAGTAATGTTTGACTATTTAACTTCATACTTGTAACATATTCCCATAGGTTTTTAGTCTACATCCTACCTTTGCTGGAAGAATTACCGGTATGTTATTAGAGTTATCACCTGCACAGCTTTTACTGTTGCTGGCCTCCGACGATTCTTTGCGTGCTAAAGTAGAGGAAGCGGTCGAAATGATTTTAGCTCATTCACACTCGCAGCAAGAATTAAATTCGGAAGCCTTGCTAGGTGGGTAATTTTTATATTTTTGAAATTATTTGAATGGAAATGTGTTCAGAATTAGATGTATTTTCGCTGGCAGATAGGGTGAATACTCGGAAGAGCTCAAGTCGTTCTAACGCTAGTGATACATCGATCCAGGATGACGCGACCAATGAGGAGGAGGATAACGCCCCCTTATTTTACTGTCCTGGAAAAATGGGTTTTTATGCTCCAAGGCAAGGAAAAGGTTCTTTCGAACGGCTCAATGCATTTAGAAATGTTGGGAGGTAGAGAAATGTGTTACTATTGAAGCTTTAATATTAATCAAATTTATAGACTTTTAGGGTTATGCTTACTGCAAAATGAGCTATGTCCAATTTTCTTGACTAGACATGTTTTGAAATCAATTTTGGGACGAGCGATCAGATTCCACGACCTTGCCTTTTTTGATCAGGTCGTTTACGAATCTGTACGACAGCTGGTTGTGGATGCCGAGACAAAAGAGAGTAACAATCTTTTCTCTGCCTTGGATCTTAATTTTAGGTATTGTATTAAATGGATCAAGTACCACCTCAGTTAATGCATGGTAGTACACAAAAATGCTTGTGAAATGGATACTCACCCAAAAAAAAATTTCCGTTGGTCAGCACTGTTAATTTTAGATCAGTGATTTGGACCAGAAGAAAACTACCAGTACCTTATTTCAGACCGACACTGCCTTTCCCAAAAAAAAGTTTGCCAGAATTCATACTTTTGTTTGTGTTTGTATTGGTGTATGGTTTGCTCACAGAGGTGTAAATACTCCAAATTCTTTATAAATGTGTGGGGCATCTTGGGTAATGGGAGATGAAAATTTTAACCACTGCCATTTTAAAAATATTTTGAATAAATCTTGAGAGTGGAACAGTTAATGACGTAAGCAATTGATGACTACTGCTTCCTTTTTTTACCAACTCTCGAATGGTTATTTCAGGAACTACTTTTGTCTCTTTAAATATTTCATCTTCCTTATTGGCAGCTCTGAACTGACACTTCTTTTTGCCAAACTGCCAAAAGAATATGCTCATCTTTGCTGATTGATGCGCCAATCCCCAACTGCACTTTTTATTTTGAGGATATTTAAAATTTTGGTCATATTTACATATCTGGGATGACTTGTAACATTTGATAGTTAAATTTTGACCATAGAAATTGTTTAATGCGGTTTTGTACTTGTTTTGCACTGATTGGCCGTATGAGGCAGCAGCTTTAAAACATGACGATGAGGAAGTTATTTTATCGTTAAAACGTCTGGGAATTTGATTTTTAATTTATGGGGTGAAATGGTAGGTAGGTTCAATACAGAAAATATTGGGTGATAATTTTGGAGTGTAAGCAAATTTTAGAACTAAGGTTACTTTAATGCAAAATGACTACTTACTGATCATTATTCTACAAATACATAGATAAGCAACATAAGTCATGCTTTATTTTTGCGAATTTATACAGTGTGCAATTTTTAACATTTTGGTGTAGTAGGCGTTGACAAGAGGTCAAAATAATTCATTTATGGTTCCAAATGACATAATAAAGAATAATATTGGGTCATAAAAAATGCTACTCAATACAGTATGTACTTATTTTCCGGTCTATATAAAAATATGAAGTTGATGATGGTTTCTCAAAGACGAAACGTTATATTGAAAATCTCTCAACGCTGTCTTGTAGAGATTAAAAAGTTTCCATGAGGAAGTGTTATTTGTTTTTTGATATTTCTTGAAACAGGATCAGAAGTGGGCGACACGCGACCCTGAAACGTATTCTTTTATTTATCAGCAACATTTTGCTACTCGCATAATATTATAATGAATGTGCTGCTTATTCTGCCATTGACGAAAGATGCTCTTTACCTTGACCTACCACAATTTGTCATTTAATTGGCTACTAGTTCAAAAGTTACAGCCCTTTGAATTTTCTTTCGAAATTGGTTTCTAGTCTATAACTTTTGATTGAGAAGTCTGATCGAAAAAGTACCAATTGTTTTGGATTCTACGCACCAAAATTAATAAGAAAAAGTGTTTTCCCGAGAAATTTTGGTGTAGTCGATTTTTGGTAAAAAAAGAAGGTTATACACTGCCTTTTTTTGAGGCCCGAAAAAAAAATTGTCTCAGATCGACCCGGAAAAAAAATTTTCTTATAGAATGTGGCCTGTAAAATCCATAATTTCAAACAGTTCCAAGATTGGGCTACTAGTTCAAAAGTTACAGCCCTTTGAATTTTTTTTCGAAATTGGTTTCTAGTCTATAACTTTGGATTGAGAAGTCTGATCGAAAAAGTACGAATTGTTTTGGATTCTACGCACCAAAATTAATAAGAAAAAGTGTTTTCCCGAGAAATTTTGGTGCAGTCGATTTTTGGAAAAAAGGAAGGTACACTGCCTTTTTTTTGCCCCGAAAAAAAATATCATTGTATATAATATACATCTTTATATACAATGGTATATAATGGTAGTATGGATGGAATTGATCTTTTCTCTCACAAATACACTATACTTACAGCACTCCCACATCCGACCAGTGTTACCCTATAGACACTGGTCGGATTATATTTACATTCTGTCAGTTATGGGTTCTTTCGCAGCAATTTTGAGGTTAAGTGGTAGAGCGGAGAAGAGCAGTCCCTCAGTATTGCTCATCAACCGAACTTCGCCTTTGGGGTTGCAGTCTATTGCATATACGTGCATCTGTATCTTTAAACTGTAAAAATATGTACTACCTAATCGTATTTGTCAACTGCTGCATCACCCAATAAAGCTATATTATTATTATTTTGCGCAATTCAAAAGGACCTTGTTTGCGTAAATTCCACACAAAATTGCTAAAGCAGTGTTAAAAAGGTCTACGTGTGTGTACCGCTAATCCAACAAAAACGTTAAAAATTATACGCATAATCAGTTATATTTTCGCACTGTATCTATTTAATTTTCATTGCTAGCTAAATTCAAATAAAGTTTGTAATTGGGTAAAGGTAAGGCGTTAAAATAATAAAATAAATAGGTCTATGGCCTGAAAGAATTAAAGACTCCTTGCATAGGAAGCATAATATCACATTCCGGTGATTAAATATAATGCTGACAGTATCATGGTCTGTGTCTGGCGCAAAGTAATGACGTTTTATTCTTTCAAATCTCAACTTTGTTGTCAGTATATTTAAATAGGTAATACAGGTTACATGCTGCTATATGGTAATACAGCGATACAACAGCTTTGAAGAACAGTCACAAGATAGCATCACCTCCTTACAAGATTTTCTACTGCAACAATATCCTATCCCATGACACCTCTTTATATTATTTATTCTATGTTAAAGAGCAAGGATAGTTTATCACGGCACTTTCAAAAATTTTAAATGTGATCAGTGCAATTATGCAACAACAAGGATAATTTAAAGAATCATCGCCTAACGCGTAACATTTCCAAATTCTTTAATTGTAAACAGTGCAATTTTACACAACATAAAATCGTCATTTAAGCAAGACACATTGAAAAATACTTATTGTTTATTTTGCGGTCAGTGTAATTATCCCACAATAGTAAGGCTGTTTTAAAGCGTAATCAATGTAAGGGAATGTCGGCGAGTTGTATGAGAGTATGCTAGAAATTGAATGATAAATTGTGATCTCTATCTGTAATTAGAAAATTAAATTGATTGCTAATTCAAGACAGTCTCGAGTTCTTAAGAAAAATGCGTTTCAGGTAGGATAGGCTTAAGGAGGAGTGTCAAAAATGGTAGGATACACTCAATTCACTTTAAAATAAATACAATAATGGGTGATCAAAAATGAGTTGCTGTCAAGTCGCCTTTGGAATTTTTGTTTACATGGGAGATCGTACTTGACTTGAACTTCCACATTCGACTGGACAGCAACTCATTTTTGATCACCCGTTATAAACAAAAAATTTGGAGGTATCAAAACAATCAAACTTTTGAATTCCACTAAAGGTGCACAACATTTGTGTATAGACATACAAATCAGTGTAAAACAAGCGCAAAACAAGTAGGTTGGTATTGCTGAAAATTTTATTTTTGTTCAAAAAAACTTGGTGTTTGGCACAATGAAATGCCAATTTATCTCTCCTGTTTTAATAAATTGATAAAAAGGATAAGGTAACCCATGGGAACCCAAAATAGTCAGGAAGGCCAACACATTTTTAATATTCCTAGCTAGCTTGTAAAATTAGATATAGTCTGAAAAAAAATTCATTCGAGGTAGTAATACCGTATCCATTCCCAGTCCTAACGGGATTATTGCATAGGAAATAATACAGGGTGTATTTAATGACAATACAATGTCCACCTTCGTGAAGTGTAGCTTTTGTTAGGATATTATGTAGTGCAAACTTAAAATTCAAAAAAACCTTGGACAGGTGGACTATGCTAAAAGTATCAATGATTAAATAAATCCAAACTCAACAAGAATATGTAGTTAGTTACCTACATATTCTTGTTGAGTTTGGATTTATTTAATCATTGATACTTTTAGCATAGTCCACCTGTCCAAGGTTTTTTTGAATTTTAAGTTTGCACTACATAATATCTAAAGAATTCAGAGCGGCTTTTATTCTGGTTTAACTCTTTAATAAAGTTTTGACTGAAAATGATACCAGAAAAGTTTGCTTTCACTTTGTATAAAATGGGGTTTTGCTAGTAGATACACTTTGGATACTAGAGCTCTTTCCCTCCTCTCCATCATCCCATCTCAAGTAGCCGGAAATGACAGGATACTAAAATTTTTGTCTTAATGTAGTATTGATCTCACCGCGGAAGAAGGAGGTGGTTCTGTTGAACTAATGCCCGGTGGAAGAGACACTGAGGTCACCTCCTCAAATGTGTACGACTACGTTAGAAAATATGCAAAATACAAAATGGTGAAGGCTCAAGAAAAGGCGATAGAGGTAAGTAAAACAAAACGGATTTGAGAAGCCAACTTACGATGTTTCTTACTGAACACTCTGTGTTTTTGTACTTTATCGATTATGACAACAAATTGTTTCAGCATATGCGTTTGGGAGTATTCGATGTCTTGCCGGAGGGGTCTTTGGACGGTCTTACGGCTGAAGATCTGCGACTACTACTGAACGGCGTAGGGGACATAAACGTATGCGTGCTTATATCATACACCTCCTTCAACGACGAGTCGGGTGAAAGTAACGAACGACTAGTGAAATTTAAAAGGTGGCTGTGGTCCATTGTGGAAAAAATGACTCATCTTGAGCGTCAGGATTTGGTAGGAGTCGTAAATTGTCCTGCGACGCCATTAATTGATTTGCGAATTTAAAGGTTTACTTTTGGACTGGCTCGCCAGCTTTGCCGGCGAGCGAAGACGGATTTCAGCCTATGCCTTCAGTGACGATTCGTCCCGCCGATGACGCCCATTTACCTACCGCGAATACCTGTATATCACGTCTGTATATTCCTCTTTATAGCAGCAGAGCTGTACTACGACAGAAGCTACTTCTCGCAATTAAAACGAAGAACTTTGGATTTGTGTGATGTAGTATGTTGTGTTAATAAACTAGCTTTCGTTTTCAATATGTCCTTTAGATTTTCATTTCTATTTTAGAGTTTTGTATAATATTAACGAGTAAAAATATTGTTTCAAGTAAAATGCCTATATATATTTGGAGATGACGCCATTTGATATTTACAACGGTGTGCTATTGTTGACGTGGTGTAAAGAAGAGGAAACTTTTACAAGAGCTATGTATATATATATGAACTGTCGAAAGTGATTATCACACAATACGGTTACCCACCCATGGGTATAAATAAGTAGTCACAAATTGTTATTGATTATTTTTTTCAAATTTTCATTGTAACCCTAAATTAGTTCTTTTTATATTATATTTGTTATGCCAAGAATCGTAATTTTAGTGTCTAGCATATTTTGAACGGATATTATATGAAAATAAATATTTTCTGTGGACTTATTCAATTTTAAAACCAAATAAATTATTTCGTTTTTTATAAACTTTCACAATGGTTAATTGAAGCAATAGTCTTATAATTTATTGGTTGTAGGTGTCAACTTTGCATAAAATAAATATTGATTGTTGCAAATTATAAATGCATTAATGGTTTCCGATATCCCTCCACCCTTCCTAAATTTGACGTTATCTGTGTATACAGTATACATACTTTTATTATCAGAGTGACCTTTGTTGTAGTTTAAGATAGCAAGATTTAGATAGCTTTATTTGCTAAACAATTTATTAATTGTACATTAACTATCATGCATACTCCTGTGTGTGTCCAAGATTTTGAAACCCACGCCTTCCAAGTTCTGGCTAAGGGTCCTTTAGATTATTACAAAAGTGGTGCAGGTGATCAACTGACACTTGAAAATAATAGAAAAGCGTTCTCCAAGTGAGTAATTTTGACAAGGTACTAATTCTTAAATATTTGCATGTTACTAACAAACACATTGTACAAATAAAAGGTGATTGTTCTGTAAGTTCAGCAAATTATGATTTCAGTTTAGTTGGCGGTGAAGGGTTGATGTTTGTCTTAAACATCAGCAGATCGCTGGAAGTGAGACCCCGAGAGGATTATTACATAGCTCTGGACTTCCCTGGTATCTGTTTTAAGATAACCTTTAAATAGCATTCTAATCTGAACAAGTAAAATACGCATAATTCAATACTATCCTAATATTTGGGCAGTTTAGTACCTACTTTTTGTGAAGTAGTAATTAAATTCAACCTCTTACAAAAGGGGACTACTGCTTCATGTGCAATTTGTTTTGAATTCCTTTTACATTTTCAATATGATACAGAGGATAGTTGTATATAGAATGTTTTTGGAAACAAAATGTATGCAACTGTTAGTTGTTTCTAATTATCATCAGGGATGAAACTCATAATAAAACAAATTCGCATTTATTAGTAAATTATTGGCCAGTTCACATTGCTATAATATTTAAATGTACAGTGTGTCCGATTTTGGTTGAGACTGCAATGTATTTTAGCTGTTTTAAAGATGAAGGCTTGCGGTTTTCGCGTGTTCTTTCAAATAAATAACCTGAGGAAAAATGAGATACGAAGAATCACACACGATTTTCAGTAAGGTAATTACATGACCTGTAATCCGGCTCATATTCAATAGCACTGATTCTGAAACTCGCAGAAATCAATTGACGAAGGTTTGAAATCGCTATCTCTTTTCGTTCTTGAGTTAGATGAGCAACAGACGGACAAAACCATCACAGTAACTTAGGGGGACAACTATGCCAGACAGTCACATATGACGCGACCGTTCGTGAGTTTCTAGCTTACGTGTTCGAGACGCGCTTGTGGTGTCGACGACGTCTTGGCACAGCTTGCCGTCTGATCTTTGGTCAGTTCGCGCATGCGCCAAGTACAAGGTCATTCGGTTCTGTTTGTAGACGGAAATGGATGGAACAGGTGTTCTGCTTCAACGATTGTAGATACTGCAGAAAACCAGCAAATACCGTCTTTTTAATTCGACTAGTTTCAGTCTTACCGCTCAGTGGTAATCCTTTAATAGACCCTCTGTGGTAGCTTTTGGTAGTCTCACTGATATTATAACCTCCATTAGGTCCCACACTAGACACTGAAAATTTTGACTTACCCTACATTTGCAAAATAATCTCTTGTCAATTTCTTTTCTATTTTAGTTGTAGAATCCGCTTGCATACCATTATTTTATTTTTGGCCCAATGGCCATGTAGGTTTTTATTAGTAACTACGAGTAGGTAGAGGTATACCGGCTGTTTCACGCAAACTGTTACCAAAAGTATTCAGAGTCCCGTTAATAATTTAAATTTGAAAATTGCATACGAACATAATTTTTCATGATGTCGAAACAAAATATTATCGTGATCGTTTCACTTACCGGATATGGATAGCAACTTTCTTATTTTAAATAGAACGCCCTGTATTTTATCGCATTTCTGAAATCTACACAAACATCTACGTCGTTTGATACCCACATTTCCCTATACCCAGCATCAAAGGTTTTCAAGTTATTCCTCCTCCTCCTAAGAAAATTAATTATATACATAGCAGTTACAATTTTACAAAATTTAAAATAAAGCATAGCGGATAGGTATCTACATGAAATGTAATAATTAATCGATATTGACATTTGAAAGCGCAAAAAAATAAAGCATGTTTCCTTTGAAAAAATCAACTTTTTCCAGTTTGAAGTTTCTAAAATTGGCCATTAGTCTTAAAACACCCTGCATAAGACCGATCAAAATTTAAATCATTCTCATGTAGAATTTTTGTTGATTTTGGAAGACTTTTTGAAATTCAACTCGGCAGAGTCATCATAGGTACAGGGCTCAAAGAAAAGCATCCAAACGTGAACAATTTTGAAAAATCTTACATAACTTGAAAACTTTTGATGCTGGGTATAGGGACATGCAGTATCAAACGACGTAGATTTCGAAAGCGCAACAGGGTGTTTTATTTAAAATAAGAAAGTTGCTAACATCCGATAACACGGGACGTGAAATGATCATGATAATATTTTCTTTTGATAGATCATGAAAAACTACCTATGTCGATATCCAATAAATTTTCAGATTTAATGTATCACTGAGAGCCTGACAACTTTTAGGTAACGGTGTGTGTGCAACAGTCGTGAAAATTGAATTGTTAGCGCATTTTCCAATACTAGTCCTCCAGTTATTAAACTTTTTCGTTGTGGTTTTTTCTTATACGGTGTAGCACAGCCCCGAGACCAGAACGACAAAAGATTTTTTGGATTAGGCTTTCGTCGGTCGCGAGTGAACACGTTTTTAACTTGTTTTGTTTTTCCCCCAAATTTTAATGTTATCAGTTATTTTTGAGAGAAATCTGTACCTAATCGTTACTTTCTTAAGCCATGTATACCTATTTCACAAAATATAAACAAATATCCCGGCGTTGGGATGTGACGACCCCACCGCCCATCACCCAATATTGGTGATGCCATCAGTCACTCAGAGCAGCACGTGGTTTGTTATTAGGGGGTATAAATTCCACAGTTCCTATAGATTTGTCATCTAGATCTGGTTGGATCGGGACTGAGGATCTTGGGTATCCTTTGTGTTGGCACTTTGCTCATTTCCAAGTCTTTGTGGAGCTTTAGAAAACACTAATCCCAACTACTTTAGCGGAAACCATTAGAACTGCTTGCACCAAAATTTGACTCTTTTCCACCACCATTCTTTCATGGATTTTCTTCGGGTCACTGTCTTTGAGAACGTTTCTTTGTTCAAGTTCCAAAATCACACTTTGACCTTAACACGTTTTAAGCGATTGCATAACGATAAACTTAGAGATGGCACTATAAACTGTTACAGCAAGTTGCAGTGAGAAAAATTATTCTAATAAAGACAAACTATACGTTTTCAACCGTGGCCAACCAGCTAGCAGCCACCTCCTGCCTGTCGTAGGTACTTAACGAAACAGATCTCCTTCGAGTTTTTTTCACAAATAAAGCGCCAATCATAATTAGAGATAACGGCAGCTTCAACAAACCGCGTTTCCACTTATGCCGAACTAATGCGCACTCTTCTCTTCTCTCTTCTAACAGTGATAAAAAAAACGCATGTGCCTACCTACATTTTAACACGCAATTCCACGTTTTATAATTAAGTAAACAATATGCAATTGAAAACAATTCTAAAAGGAAAAATAACACTACAGAAATAGAAACTCAAATGAAATAAACCCTTTCTATGCTTATTCCCCCCCCCCCCCCAAATTGAAAAACCTCATAAATAAGGCGACCCATCATTATTTTTGGTAGTCTTTACATATCTATAGTCTTCGCTTTACTGCAATACCTACCTGATTTAGTTTTTTGATCTTCATGATCGGATGATATGATTTACCATCAATAAAGATTTACTTTAGAATTAAAAAAAGATCAATACAGTAATTCTGTTTGTGATCTGATCATGTCAAGGTAACATGCGTTCAAAATTTAACATGACCAACAATAAAATTTCAGATTACGTATTCGGCCAAGATGTTTTCGAGATGTAAGTACAAGAAATTTATCAACAACTGTAATGGGCACGACCGTTTGCGTCCCTTTCGGAATTGCGCCTACCGCCATGCAAAAACTGGCACATCCCGACGGAGAAATAGCGTCAGTTAGAGGTACCTCTTTTTTTGTTACCTAGCTCATTTAATGAATTTGCAATTGCAGCGGCTGAGAAAATGGGTACGATTTTTATTTTAAGTACCATTTCCACTACCAGTTTAGAAGATGTCGCGGCCGCTGCGCCCAACGCGCATAAGTGGTATCAACTGTATATTTACAAGGATCGGTTAGAGTTGAAGGATGTTAATTCTAAATGTTGTAATGATAGTTTTTAGGGAGATTACCGCAAATTTAGTAAAGCGCGCTGAAGCGGCCGGTTTCAAAGCTATCGTATTGACAGTGGATAGTCCCCGGTTTGGTATTCGAAGGGACGACATTAGAAACAATTTTAAAATACCACCACATTTAACGTAACACCTAAACCACTTTACGCGTACGAGTTTAAATTCCCTTTTTTAGCTTGGCAAATTTTGTGGGTGACAAAGCAACAAATGTTTCCCGCGCTCAAAGTGGTTCGGGAATAGCAAATTATGTTATTAGTCTGTTCGATCCTGCTTTAGTATGGGAAGATATAGCGTGGTTAAGACAGTTAACAACGTTACCAATAGTCGTAAAGGGCATTTTAACTGCTGAAGATGCTCAAAAAGCAGTCAAAATGGGTGTCTCGGGCATCATGGTGTCAAACCATGGTGGTCGCCAGGTCGATGGAGTTCCTGCCTCGGTATTGTTTCGAAATAGCAAATTCGGAGAAATTTATTGTGTTGTAGATTGAAGCGCTGCCAGAGGTAGTAAAGGCTGTAGGAGATCAAGTCGAAGTTTACATGGATGGCGGAATTCGTCAAGGGGTAGATGTTTTTAAAGCATTAGCATTGGGAGCAAAAATGGTAGGTACTTCTTAATTGTGTTTATCTTCTCGTTCTTATTTGGTGTTACAGGTCTTTGTTGGCCGCCCTAATTTGTGGGGATTGGCTTACAATGGAGAAGAAGGGGCTACGAAAGTGTTGGATACATTGAAATTTGAATTAGATAATGTCATGTCACTCTCAGGTGGGTAATTTTAAACCGATTTTGTTTGCTAACATGAACAGATTACACACAAATCTAGGTACTCATCTTTATGCAGATGATTCCGCATATGGGATGCAACATATCTAAATGTATATTCTTTTTTAGGCTGTACATCCATAAAAGAGGTAACATCCGACTTAGTGGTCCACAAAAGCTATTATTCACGCCTGTGACGCTTGTATACAGGATGATAAAAAAATAATGGCAGTGTAAAAATCTTGTAACTAATAAATACATATTAAATATAAAATAATAATTTTTTTTTGTAAGAACTATATTTCCCTTACACATTTCATAATAACAATTGAAGAAAGTTTCACTAAATCAAGCGAAAGCGATCCAAAGTGTGTGAGGGGGATAAAATGTAAGGTTTTGGACCCCGAATCAGGCCATTAACCCACTGATGCAACTTAATCAAAAGAATGTTCTAAATTAATAGGCAAACAAAGATCATTCTTGAGCACCTTCAATCATACAGACAGTGTTGCATTGTGGGAAGGATAACCATTACATCAACGACTTCTTTGGACCAATTACTAAAAAAAATGTTATTTTTTTTTGGAACTGGTTGTCTATATCGCAATCTTTCATTAACAAACTGGACATAACTATTTAAACGTAAAGGAAAAATGTAACAAAAATGATTTTAGGTTATTTGTTTTCCGTAATACCTGCAATCTTGACCATATTTCCGAGCAGAGCCACCGTTACTTTCATGTCAAAACAATTGACGTTTCACTGAACTTTCGTATCTGGGTAGTAGTCGGTCTTAAAACTGGCGGTTCTTTTTATACACAAAGTACGCACACAACCAGACGACGTCCGGGAAACCTTCTTCAGGACAAAAACCCCACACAAATACACGAACTAAATTAACAAAATCAAAAGAAAATCCACAAAACATTTCGGTTCATTTCGGATCTCTCCATGTTTTTATGCCTTTTGACATCAACTGTCAAATATACCCCGTTACGCATTTGTCATGCGCACACTACACACTTGTCAGTCACAGCCTGAAAAAGAAGAGTTCTGAACACAATTTTTTGTAATTGAACCAGGAGAGGCAATTATAATTGCTGATAATTTACAAAATCAATAGTTTAAATTGCTTAGGCATCGTTTATTTGATACTGCATTCGATACATATAAATACTTATCATACATAAATAATATAATACTAGTAACTTGAAAAGCCTCTAAAGCTAAAGCTTCCGCTAGCTATCACAAATGCCATAAAACAGCATAATACTCACAATACAAAGATAGAAGAAACTGAGCGAATATGGAATGAAAAGAGAAGTCGTTAATTTATAATACTATAACATACATCACATACAAGTTTAATTCAAAGCAGTTTAAGCAAATCACATAAAAATCGCACTCGCCAAAGAAGATCGTTAAATTATTCAATCGTTGTGCACAATATAGACGTCATGTGTTTGCAGACTTAATGTATAATAACTCCCTCAACGATAAAATTTTACCTCCGTCTCCACGCAATCCTTAAATAGCTCATCAAGTTCGGATAAATCTTCCCCCAAACTATTGATTATAGTGTTCAATTCCTCTACGCACTCTTCTTCCATTTTTCGCAGTAAATTTTGCACTTGGCTTCCTTTTCTTATAGCTTCGGAATGCAGAGAATGTAACGTGTGTGGTTCCTAGACGCGGAGTCATTAAACTAGATCGGTATAAAATGGGTTACTTACATTTTCTGACAGACACTGGGTATGTTTCGAAATCGTGGGATTCTTTGTGAATACAAACGGTTTAAAGACTGATTTTACAGCGTGTGGTGTACCAGTAAACCAATGTACACTAGGCCTATCCGAACTCAAAACGGATACCTGTGAAATAATTCAATAATGACCAAATCCGCGCAGCGAACGACAATTACCTGGCTACACTGCGTAGGAAACTTGGCATCGTATGGTTTACATATTTCTGACTGATCGTCGCGTAAAATTTTAAACATGTCGGTTTCCTTAAAATTATTAGAAGCTGTGACATTTTCTAGGAGTTTCTTGCCGGCTTCGTAACATTCGCTTGATGCGCCTTTCTTATTGAATGCTTCGGAAAAATTGAAGTCCCCCTGCAAATATAATTGTCATTTACAATTTGAAATTTATTCCATTTGGATTAATGTGTAAACAAATAGAGCAAATGAGCTCATGGGTAATTTTTTTTGGCCTACATTGCCAATTCATAAACTGCGATCTACAAATTTGATAAGAATCCACCTGCACAATTTTATCAGAATCGGTCAATTCCTTTTTGAGATGCTAACGGACAGGCATCCAAAAATTATGAACTCACTAGGGGCTCTAGAGCCCTTAAATAATGCGTTGCCGAAGATCTTGTATTGAAGCAGGGTCAATATTTAAAGGCAGTTTTCAAGTAGCCCCAGAGGAAAGAATCAAGGAGTGTTAGCTGTGCAGATGAATACTACTCAATCAGACCTTTACTTTAATGTATGATAAACGGGGGTGGTGCCATTTGAAATTTGAGAGTTGGGGTGGGGTCGCTTCGGGAATGACTTATTCTGTGACCATTATACCAAACATTCGTAATGAAACTTTTCAAACTGACACACTGTATGTACAGCGTGTCCTATCACAATAAAGGTGACAGGCCAAATCTATGAAACCGTTAATTTTGCACAAGTTTGCCGCCAGAGGGTGTACGATTCATGGTTAAGTACAAAAATGATTTTTTTTCCTAATGGTAGGGGGGCCCAATAGGGGATTTTGGGATTTACTCGACCACGCCAGAGTAAGGAGGTGGGTTGGCTACGTGTTGAAAAGTGTGCATTTCAATATTCTGACGATTTGAGAATGACGCAAGGGAGCGGGAAGGTCGCAAACTTGCAGAAAAAAAAACATTACCTTGACATTCTCGAGGGCGTTGAAATTTTTTTTATTTCGACGAAAATTCAAGAATAACATGAGTAATATAATCTGTAATCACACGCCAAAGTCGAACAAATCGTCAATAAAGTTCAGTGCGTTCAGCAGTTGAAGCATCTAGTTGACTGAGATCATTGGCGGTCGTGTAATAAATTATACATACAACACTCTAAATATCTGCCGCGCTCGAATAAATCCCTCCCCTCCCCCACCATGCTAACCGGCAGACTAACATACCTCTAATATCAGAGGCACTATTTTTGTGTACATTATTAAAAGTGTCGACGCGCCCCCCCACCGGTGAAGGGCTGTACATCATATAACTTTTTCTTTCTACCATCTAAACTACAAAATTCAATAGATCTTGTATGAATTTTGCATCATTTTGATGGAGCACATATTATTACTCTGGCTCATAAAATATGAGGGGTGGGGGAAGAGGAAAATCTCTTTAAGGAGTCGAATGTAACTTCAGTTTAGATAACCGATTTTTACATTATTGGTTTTATTGGAAATTATTCGTGTAATCAGATTTGACAAGAGTCTTTTTAGTAAATATGATGTGTGATAGAGGGCGCGGTTTGACCTTAACATCAACCATGCAGGTTTCCATGAACATTTTAGATGAAACAAAATAATCATTATACAGCGTGTTTCAAAATGAATAGAGGGGTTTCAACATGTTATAATATTTGATAGATGAAACTTACAGCCACAAGTGATATATCAAATGAAAGAGAAACTCAAACAGTTTTTGTTTGTTGGCATCAGTGCGTATGTTTCCGCCGCAATCCGCTAGAAAGCGCTAATAGCAAAGATGGCGACTAAAGAACAGAAAGCGTTTTGTGTTTTACAGTTTGCAAAGACGGAATCTGTTGTTACTGTGCAACGTGCGTTCCGGATTAAGTTCGGTTGTGCTCCTCCAGGTGATAACAACATTCGTAGATGGTATCATCAGTTTCAAGACACTGGCTGCCTTTGTAAAGGCAAGAGTACGGGACGACCACGAACTAGTGAAGAGAGCGTTGAGCAAGTGCGTAATTCGTTGACGCGTAGCCCTATGAAATCCGTTCGGAAGGCTAGTCGTGAATTAGCAATTCCTGTGACGACTGTTTGGAGAGTTTTACGGCGACGCTTAGAGCTACGTCCTTATCGTTTGCAGTTGTTACAGGCTCTGAAGCCTACCGACCATCTTTTACGTGCCAACTTCGCTAACGACATGTTGTTGCATGACAATGAAGATTTTCTGGATCTTGTCGTCTTCAGTGATGAATCGACCTTTCACCTTAGTGGTCGAGTTAACACCCATAATGTTAGGATTTGGGGCTCAGAAAATCCCCACATGATGGTACAAGTGCAACGAGACTCTCCTAAATTGAATGTTTTTTGTGCCATATCCGGCAGAAAATTTATGGTCCTTTCTTTTTTGGTGAAGCAACTATCACTGGTACTTCTTATCTGGATACGTTACAGCAATGGCTCTTCCCTCAACTGACACATGATGAACCACAAAACTTCATCTTTCAGCAAGATGGTGCGCCGCCTCACTGGCATAATGAGGTACGCGATTGGCTTAACCTAACTGTACCCTACCGCTGGATTGGCCGTAAGGGGCCTAATGACAGGGCTTGTTTCGCATGGCCTCCACGGTCACCCGACCTAACCCCGTGTGATTTTTATCTTTGGGGGTTTATTAAGGACCGTGTGTATGTGCCTCCACTGCCAGCCGACCTTCCCGATTTAAGAAACAGGATTGAAACAGCTGTTGCAGCAATTACTAATGAGACACTCATCAAAGTTTGGGAAGAACTAGCATACCGTCTTGACGTATGCCAAGTGACGAATGGTGCTCACATTGAACACTTGTAGGCTATTATGTAAAACTGTTTGAGTTTCTCTTTCATTTGATATAACAATTGTGGCTGTAAGTTTGATGTATTAAATATTATAACATGTTAAAACCCCTCTATTCATTTTGAAACACGCTGTATTATATGATCTAGATGAAAAAGTGGAAATATCAATAAAAACCGCATTTTGATATCTGTTTCCCAATGGTAGTTACACACCAGGTGACCTGTCAATCCACACCTAGAGATCCACCTGCCATCTCAGGAATTCATACACACCTACAAGTCGAAGGGTGGAGTGTGGCAGGTAGGCATAGCGGACGTTTAGCCGACGCAATTGTTGAGTTTGTTGACTTACCTGAACGATGAATGGTGGCTTCTGCTGGAAGTCAACAGATGGCACCCACCAATTTGGCCATCATAACCTAACATTTTGTATCTTCCTATGACGATAATGTCACTTGAATAAAAATTCCAGTTTATATCATCTTCAAATAATTCTTGCAAAATAATATCCATTTTTTGTCAGCACGAAGTAAGCTTTTAAGATACAAAACACGATGAAGTTGCAGTGTCACCAGAACCGTTCAGGCATATATGTTGACGTTTGCAATAAATGCAAGAAAACACGTGTAAGAACAGTTGTGTCGGTTGAACATACCCATACTATGGGCAGATGCACCTGGCAATTCTACCTGTCAAAGGTGACTTGTCAAGTCGACCTGGGAATATAAGATGGGCAAAAACTGTCAGTTTTCGTAACTACCAAGTGACCTGACACTTGTCGTGAAAGTCGACAGGTCGCAGGCTCATCTGTCCGTAGTAATTCTAGGCACCTGCCGCACTCCACCCTCGACTTGTACGTGTGTATGAATTCCTGAGTCAACCTGTCAGTTGTCCACGGTAGATTGCTCCGTTCTTAAACATTTTTAACCAACTGAGATGGATGGTGGATCTGTAAGTGTGGATCGAGAGGTGTTTTGACAGGTAGACTTCACAGGTCACCTGTGACAAGTGCACTTATAGGTGTGTACTACCTTTTAAGAAGAGGTATGGCGAAAATACGCACAAGCACAAATTTTGGCAAAATCGGAGCGTAACTCTTATGGTTGCTGAGAAAATAATTAAGAAGAAATGCAAATTTCACCACATTTTGGAGAGTGGCTCCCAAACGAAACACATTGCATCATCGGTTTAATTGGAAAAGGTGCTCGTTTTGATCCCCTCTACCACCCAATTCTTTTTTGACATACTTATATGTAACACCCTGTATATACTGTATATTTCTGAATCAATCAAATCTTCAATACAATACTTTCTCCGACTTTAATTTTATGGTGATTATGTAAAGATGTTTACGAATGTGAAGTTCTGATTCCTCATAAATTTCGTTACGTCAGCCTTATCTAGCCGTCATTTCACCACTACAGAAAAACAATTTTTTTAAATGTAATCTGGCTAATGAACAGTATCTTGGTCAATTTCATAACTTCCTACTTTTTTACTGAAGTATAAATATGAAATTATCTGATGAGCGTATGAAAGATCTTTTGCTGACTATTTTGCGAATACCTACCTCCTTAACCATAGCTCAATACCTATGTTAAAAGCTAGCTGCAGCTTATGCGGAAATTGTTCTGTTTTATATTCATCTGTCTGAGGTTCAGTTACTGACAAAATAAATGATTCTTGAATTTATTCATTTTTAGCGGTTACCTTGTGTGAGCTATCGGATGTAGGTACCATTTCCATAATATGACAAATATTTGATATCATGCTATTAATGTAACTTAGTTATAGATAGGAAACCACATTTTGTTAATTATTAGGTAAACCACAAAAAAATACTTTAATCAATATTTTATCTGCAGTATTAAATGACACCTACACAAGATGAAATGATTATTTTATAAATTTAGATGAAAACTTGATTATGTAAATAGTAGTCTTATTCCAGCATGAAGGGGCTTTTTTTAATCTTCATCTTGTTATGTGCATTTGGAGAAAGGTATGTGTTCTCTCATGCAACCGAGGTAAAGGTGGTCATCAAACTATGCTTCAGAAATCATCTCCAAAGTCGAATCTAGCACGAACGAGAAGAAAGAATGGAAGAAGGTAATACTATCATACGACTATGAATGCTTTGATCCCCAATTTTTGTTGGAAATATTGACGTGCTACAATGAGCCACGTAACGTTACCTTTGGAGAACATGTCAATAGCTGCTTGGCTAAATCTTATTCGCATAGCGGAGTTGTTTGTAGGAATGACTGCAATGACCTGATGAACAGTATAGCAGTTATGGCTGGCCAAAACTACGATTTCAAATGTGCAGAGAACGAACAGTTCTTCGAATCATTTTTAAAGTGCCTTTTGAAAATTCGTCAGGGAGCTGAATGCCCGAAAAATGGTTACAGTTCGTGTGCAAAAGCATTCCAGTAATCTAAATCTTATTTTTGTGACCGGAGTGTTCCCAACGCAACTTAAGTGTGCTCTGGTAAAACCGCTGTTCAAACTACATTGGTTTCTGATGAAATCAATAACCTTTGCTTTTCTTTGAAATAAAAAGCTTACTATTGTATCTACTATATTGTCCCCCTTACCACTTCGCCTTTCTTATTTTTATGGCTACCCAAAGATCAATTTCCTAAAGTATTACAAAACCCAAGGTTATCAAGACTATGATTTGCGCTTGTCCACTGTCCTTATTGACAAACGTAAAAGGTCAAGTATGTCACAATGATCACGTGAGTCCCAAAAATTCTTTATCAATGTTTTACTATTATTATAAAAATAAATGTTAGATCATATTAGGCGACTACTCACAAAGACTAGAAAACATGAAGGTGCTTTCTCGGGTTTTAATTTTGTTGGCTATAGCAGGAGTCGTTTATTTGCATGAAGGTAAGCGTTATCTCTTACAAGTCATGTGCGTAGATGGTCATAAAAATGTGTATTTCAGGATGTATCAGCGGTGAGGAAGAGCAATGGGCGAAAATAATGCTATCGTACCCTTACGAATGCTTTGATCCGCAATTTTTATTAGAGATGTTGACGTGTTTTGATGCGCCGCATAATAATCTTACCTATGGAGAAGGAATCAATGAATGTGTGACTAAATACTACGCGTTGAGCGGAGTTGTTTGCAGAAGTAATTGTACCGAAATGTTGAATGAGCTACTGTATATGGCTGTTCGAAAATACGATTTTAGTTGTTACAACCAAAAATTTCTGCAAGAGTGGTTCAAATGCCTTTACGACATTCGTAAAAGTGCTGAATGCCCAGAAAATGGTTACAGTTCGTGTACCACACAATTTAAGGATCTAGCCCTATAAATTATATTTTCCTTCAAACCAAACGTGTACACACTGTTTAATTACGTTCGTATGTAACCCTGATTTGTATTTAGTTTTAAGTGTGACAAGTTGCATATTGTATTTATAAACTACGCATACAATGTTGTGCAGATAAAGTACATTTTTTTAAACTCCCTGGCCCACACACACACACCCTCACACACATATTGATCTCGATAAAGAGTCAGTTGGTAGAAATCAAAGCTTTTCATTGAGACCTTTCCGGGTGTCTTGTTGAGCGGCCACTTATTTTTTCGAGTAGTTTGTCTTTAATGCTATAGGGGCTCGTTCTCCTCCCCGCCTCCAAAGTGTGGTCATTGCGCAGGTATGAAGTGCCAGTTAATTTTAGCCTAGGAAATAGTTTTGAAAATCATTTGATTTAAGTAGTTGATGTAATTTAATTAATTTATTATTTAAACCCAAGGAAGCTATATAATACAGGATTGCTTGATCACTGAATTTTTTTGCCGCGTGTAGTGACGTCACTGGCGGACCCAGACGCACCGTATGCTATGATTTTTCGATTTGTGCACCACTTTCATTTGTAATTTAATTTTTATATTATGTAAGATTCTAAGAGCTCTTTCTCACGATGCGTTTTTGAGTTCAGTTCGATTTTTCATGGATTTCACGTCAGCGACAAGATGCGTAGGTACTCGTATCAATCCATCAAACCGAAGGAGCCAGTCAAAACACAGCACTAAAAGCATTGCTTTTCCCGTCTGCCTGTTTTTAGCGCATTTCCACAAAAATAAAAATAAAAAATGCGCTATTGTGGCCACTTGTCCGTCCGTCCGTCCGTTCGTCCGCTACTTTTGCGACGCTACTAGTTCTTTATCTTAAGAGCTATTGTTCTACTTTTTTCGCTATTTGGTTCGTTATGGTGTCGAGGCGTGCACCAGGGAAGGAATTTTTTCTGCGTTTATTGCTAAAAAAGTTATTGTAAAAAAACCAACAAACCGTTTTTTACATGTTCCATAATTTTACACTTTTGCCGTTTATTAACCATCCTAGAGATCATTTATAATTTTGTATTGTTGTCTGTCGTCTGTCTGTTAGTCTGTCCGTCTGTTCCTTTGCCTGTCTGTCCCTCTATCTGTCCGTGTGAACGATAATTTTGTTTAGAAATGTCTGATCGCTTTTACATCTCCGTTAGTTATGAACTGAATTGCATGAAATTCAATATGGGCATAGATTTAGCCATATAATACGCAATGCCAAAAGTTGAATCAAATCGATTCAAAATTCACAGTGCCCTTTTCGCATCTCGACCATTTATAAACCGAATTGCAAACTTTTTTACTTATAAAAGTATTTGAATGAAATTTTATACTTAGGCACTTGGAATAAAGGAAAATCAAACGACAATTTCAAAATTTGGTTTTGCGCATGCGCAGTGCCAACTTTTTTATTTATGGAAGAATTGAAATGAAATTTGATACATAGGCGCTTTTAATAAAGGAAAATCAAATGCCAGTTTCAAAATTTGTTTTTGCACATGCACAGTGCCAACTTTTTTATTTATGGAAGAATTTAAATGAAATGTGATACATAGGCACTTGGAATAAAGGAAAATCTAACGCCAGTTTCAAAATTTGGTTTTGCGCATGTCAACTTTTTTATTTATGGAAGCATTTAAATGAAATTTGATACATAGGTGCTTGGAATAAAGGAAAATCTAGCGCCAGTTTAAAAATTTTATTTTGCCCATGCGCAGTGCCAACTTTTTTATCTATGGAAGCATTTAAGTGAAATTTGATACTTTGGCGCTTGGAACAAAGGAAAATCTAACATTAGTTTCAAAATTTAGGTTTGCGCATGCGCAGTTCCAACTTTCTTATTTAGAAAAGCATTGAAATGAAATTATTCTTATAAACTGAAATTGACATAGCATGTCAAAAATGGATTGCTCATGTGCAACGCTACCTTTCATATTTGTGGCCGGATTTTTACGATTTTAACAGAAGTTGCATCTTACAAATGGGAAAAAATTAATTGGTAGCTAGCTATCCATCTTTTACTACTACTTTTAATACCTGAAATAATTAAAAGAAGTATGGGGAAGGTTTAGTGTCTTTATCAATCCACTTACAAATGGGAAATAAATGCAAGTGGAAATGCGCTTTATGTAAATCGTTTACGATTACTTTTTAACTTGTTTTAACTGCGGGCATCTGTTTTTGAAATGTCTACTTTGCTTACATTTGCAGCACCATTTGACACTGATACTGACAGAACTGTAACTTGTGCCGCTGCCGCTGTTGCTGTCACCACCGCCATTAATTCTTATTCTTTATCACCGTCACCGCCTTCGCGGTTGTTCGAAGTAGACGTGCCGTTTCCAGGTTTCTTGTGCCTGGCACACCTTCAAGGAATAGGGTAACTATATTGCAAAAAATTCGGGGACTGTAGGATAATTGTCTTAAAAGTAGACCGAAACCGTAAAAGTGGGTCAGAACTGAACCAAGTGCATATTTGCACGTGTTAGAAATTAGACCATTTATTGCTGGTAGGCAATGTAAAAACAAAAGTGTGGATATCTCAAAAATGGAGCATCGGAGAAAGGAGAGAAAATGCGGAGAATTTCTGTAAAGGCTTACATAATCCCCTGCATAAAAACGTAGTGTTCGTTAGCGTTACAATACAGATACCTGTATCGAAAATAAGACTTACAAATTCTTGTATTCTTTGTGAACGTCCATGCAAAATTATGAAATGATATAACAGTTAAAAATATTAAGAAGAATATACAATTTGTTACAGATAGAAAAGTAATTTATTACAACGCATCAGTTAATAAAAATAATCAAAACCTGGCGTCGGGATGTGACGACCCCACCGCCCATCACCTTTTGGTGATGCAATCAGTCATGTGGCGTGCAGTTGGACGGTAGGATCCCAATGGACTCTTTGATCAATGAATGTTTAATAGTGATATTTTCCTATAATTTAAAAAAAACTGATTTAATAAAGACAACCCAAATATCAATTTCCCAATGTATTAGGTTTCCTAGACTATCAAGTCCGTGGCCTCAATACCAGATATGCACTTGTCCACTTGACCACTGCCGATATTGACAAATGTGAAAGGTCAAGTATGTTGCAAATATCATGTGACGCCCAAAAATTCTTTATCAATATTGTATATTGCGACTATATAATAATTATTATAAAATTAAATGTATTCTCAAAAACTTTGAAAACATGAAGGTGCTTTCTCGGGTTTTAATTTTGTTGGCTATAGCAGAAGTCGTTTATTTGCATGAGGGTAAGTGTTATCTCATGTACGTAGATGATTTCACAAAAATGTGTATTTTAGGATGTATCAGCGGTGAGGAAGCGCAATGGGCCAAAATAATGTTATCGTACCCTTACGAATGCTTGGATCCGCAATATTTATTAGAGATGTTGACGTGTTTCGATACGCCGCATAATAATATTACCTATGGAGAAGGAATCAATCAATGTGTGAGTAAATCCTACGCGTTGAGCGGAGTTGTTTGCAGAAGTAATTGTACCCCAATGTTGAATGAGTTACTGTATATGGCTGTTCGAAAATACAATTTCAACTGTTACAACCAAAAATTTTTGGAATTGTGGTTCAAATGCATTTTCGACATTCGTAAAAGTGCCGAATGCCCAGTAAATGGTTACAGTTCATGTACCATACAAGTTAAGGATCTAGTCCTATAAATTATATTTTCCTCAAATAATAAGCTCAACCAAATGTAGGTACACATTTTTTCCTTCTTTACGTTTGTGTAATCCTGATGTGTATTTAGTTTGAAGTGTCACAAGTTATATATTGTATTTATCGCAAAAAAGTATAAATGGTGCACACATTTTGTGCAGATAAAGGAGGTACATTTTTTTAAAACCACCTAACCCACACACATACTGATCTTGCTAAAGGGCCAGTTGGGAGAAATCAATTCTTTTCCTTGAGACCCATTATTCAAGTACTTACTACCCCCATTTCCAAAACTTCCACCCATCTGAGTGATTTTTAGTTTATCATTACCAAAAAACAATGCATTCGACTATTTCCAAGGAAACTCAGCCATAAACAACAAATTTTCATTATGGCGGACTGGATCGCACTTTAAAATAAGGTGCGTCACCACTAGAGGCACACGTATGCAAAATTTGACACAAACTGATCGTCACATGTAAGAACTGGTGAGATCGAAGCAAATATCTCGAACACGGTTGCAGAAGGGTACTCATAAAGGGCGAGTGGAACATCTGAATGAGCCATATTTATTGGCAATGTAACAATTTAAGTGTGATCCCAAAAATGGAGCGTTAGAGGTTCCTACACAGGGAAAATGCAAATTACGGAGAATTTCTCTAAGGGCTTGATTTTTTTTGTATTATATAGTGCAGATTTTGCTATCAATGGTTTGCAGGTGAAGGGTTTCAGTAAACTACACCACTACAACAATCAAAATGTAATAGTAGGGGAGAACGGCAGACTAAAAGCAATATTCAAGAAGTAATGCTCCCATAAATTCCGGATTGTTATCAAATGTGGCGGGGAAAGATTTTTGTATTTTTGTGATAAAAATCACGACTCTATCAAATGTTGGGAAGCGAAAGAAATGACCTAGAAGATAAGCAGAAAATAGTGATTGAGAAAAATACTTGCTTCAGGTGCATGAAAATTGGTCACTCCTCCAGGAAATGCCATAAGAAAGTCCGATGTGAGTCATGTAACCAAAGAAATCATCGAAGGAAGAGGATGTCATAGTGAGAGAGAAAGTACAGCGGAAGGTGCACTCCCAATGCCCAATCATCGTAAATACTTTGAAAGTTAATATCTTTGATGAAACCGGGAAAGTAATCTCAGTTCGAAAATCGTTGGACAATCCTCATTTTATTTATTTATATGTATTTTATTTATATTTTATATTTATTTTATTTTTCTTCCTTTCCCTTATTTCTTTCTCTTCGTGTGCTTCCCCTTCATTATCTATATGTATTCAAAGTTCTTGATCTATTTTATCAGATGAGTAGTGGCTTTGGAATATCAGTTGATCTGGGGACTGGAATTCACAATACTCGACAATATTCTAAGAAACTGCTGCGTCTACCTAAAGTCACTAAATCGTTTTTTCAAAAAACATTCATGTTTCTCGGTCCAAAATTTTGTAATTATTTTTGTAACCATTACTCTCAAAGTATATTTGAACTATCAGTTCGGGTGTTCAAGAAAAGAGCTAAGGAATTTTTATTTACTAAAGCGACTACTGAGTTGGATGTATCTTATTTTAAGTTAATTCTACAGTTTGATTAATTTTGCTTGGTTTATGTTATACATCTTCATTTACACCAATGCTTCACTAGCGATACGTTGCGTACATTTTATTTAGCTGAAAATATGTTCATTAAATTTAAATAATTATATCTGTTGATCTCTATTTAGATTTCTGTACGTGTGTATGGCGTTTGTAGCATGATCTTGGATTTGCTTATCCTCCCAGTGTTCAGAGTAATTTTATTCTCATTACTCTCACTGGTGTAGTATTATTTCACCTAGTACATTATCTTTAAGCTAAGTTTTCGTTTATTTTCGCACTGCCTTAATTTATACTTTATATAATTTTTACTTTTTTGTTGCGTTTGCTGTTTTGTTTCTAGGTTGGAATAAAGATTATTATTATATCCAGATTTTGGTCGGAGACGATTATTGGGGTCATGTCACAACTGGGAAGGTGCCAAAATGTGGACTGATAGCGCCAGAGACTATCTTCAGAGATGGACCCTGGGAGGACGATTGCCGAAGTTAACCACGTCTATGGCTAACACAATCGTTTCATTGCTCTCAACCCCGTCAGACCATCATCACTTATGGAACTTGGAGACCATCGGCACAAAGAACCCAATAGGGAAGAAGATGAAAAGCGAAGTGGTTGATAGTAATTTCTTGTTAAAGACGGTTCAGAGGGAAAATAACGGAAGGGCCATTGTAGCCCTCCCTCAAAATAGAAAAGAGGAGTATCCTCCCATAAATCGCTCAGTAAATCAATGGAGGAGGATGGAATCCACTACAATGAAACTCTAACAACAAAATAAGTGTGACTATGACGCAGTGTTGAATTTGTGGGAAATGGACGGACTTTAGTACGGAAATGTCTGAAGAAAATATTGGACATTTCCTACCTCATTGTCCTGTGTTTAAGGTCAGTTCTACTACTCCAGTGTGGCCAGTTTTCGACGCATCATGTCATGTTCGAGAAAAACCAAGCTTGTAAAGAGCCCCTGATTGTTTCCATCATACTGAGGCTTCAAGAAAACACGGTAGGAGTCTCGTCAAATATTAGGAAGGCACTTTACATGAAGACGAAGCCATATCAGAAGTTTCTCTGGTGGAAGGATAGTAGCTGTTGAGAGCTGAAAATTTATTAGCACAATCGAGTTGTCTTTAGTCCATATTTGCTTGGTGCCACAATTAATTTGAGCATTTGGAGTCACATCCTGACCATTTTTCGCAGACGAGAAATTGCTTTTATGCAGATAACTTTCTCACTTCTGCTTCATCGTTTGAAGAATATAAGAACTGCAAGAAAAAAGGAAGTGCCATTATGGGAACTGCTAAAATGGAGTTGAGAGGATAGAGTTGCCCTCAGAAATAGTTCCCAATGCAAACGGAGATTGTGATGAATAATTGAAAACGAGACTGTAGTTCGAGTTGTGAAGGAAGCCCTCGGATATGAAGATATCCCCACTCACTTCTGGACTTCTTCTGTTGCACTCGCTGGTATACAAAGTGATGGGGATTGGGGACTGGCAAGTGGTTGGTTTATAATTGGGTGAAATCAACTGAACAGGAGCAATGTTGCCTTCAAGAAGATGCACCGCTCATCAATTGATTGGATTCACATGGTGGGAGGGTGCTGAGTGGTTGTACCAACCTTACAATGGTATGTCTCTGTTCCCAGTTATAGTTAAGAAGAAATTGAAGTTGAAAGCATGCAACCTTGGGATAACCTCAGATGGATGTGACGATCCCACCATCCATCACCTTTTGGTGATGCAATCAGTCATGTGGCGTGCAGTTGGAAGGTAGCATCCCAATGTACTCTTTGACGAATGAATATTTAATAGTGAGATTCCTCTATAATTAAAAAAAAAACTGATTTCATAAAGATATGGCAATCCAAAGATCAATTTCCCAAAGTATTAAGTCTGTCGACATTGACAAATGTGAAAGGTTAAGTATGTCACAATAATCATGTGACGCCCAAACATTCATTATCAATATTTTATATTGCGACTATATCATAATTATTATAAAAATAAATGTATTCTCAAAAACTTGAAAACATGAAGGTGCTTTCTCAGGTTTTAATTTTGTTGGCTGTAGCAGGAGTCGCTTATTTGCATGAAGGTAAGCATTATGTCTTACAAGCCATCTACGTAGATGATCACAAACAGAATTTCAGAATGTAATAGCGCTGAGAGAGTGCAATGGGGGAAAGTAATGTTAACGTACCCTTATGAATGCTTTGATCCGAAATTTTTATTAGAAGTTATGACATGTTACAATACGCCTCGTAATAATATTACCTATGGAGAAGGAATCAATCAATGTCTGACTAAATCCTACGCGTTGGGCGGAGTTGTTTGCAGAAGTAATTGTACCCCGCTGTTGAATGAGTTACTGTATATGGCTGTTCGAAAATACGATTTTAACTGTTACAACCAAACATTTTTGGAAGTGTTGTTTAAATGCATTTTTGACATTCGCAAAAGTGCTGAATGCCCAGAAAATGGTTACAGTTCATGTACCACACAAGTTAAGGATCTAATCCTATAAATTATCTTTTCCTTCAAATAATAAGCTCAACCGAACATGTACACATTTTTTCCTTCTTTATGCTTGTGTAGTCCTGATTTGTATTTAGTTTTAAATACCTATCACAAGTTGTATATCGTATTTATAGGAAACAAGTATAAAGTGTGTGCAGATAAAGCACATTTTTTAAAATTCCCAAACCCACACACACACATTGATCTTGGTAAAGGGTCAGTTGGTAGAAATCAATTCTTTTCAGAGACCTTTCGTTAGTACATCATGGTATCCTTTTAATCAGTTTGTATCAATTTTACTCCCCCCCCCCACATGTAGACATCGAACTCGATAAGTTGAACGATAGTTGATAGAAATCAATTAATTCGAATACTATTTCCATTTCCTTCAACCCAACATGGTGTAACATTAATTTTTAGTTTATCGTTACCAAAATAACGCATTCGACTGTTTCCAAGGAAATTCGACCATAAATAATCAAATTTCAATATGGCGAACAGGTCGTAATCCAAAATAAGAATGTAAACTCCTTGCCACATGTATGCAAAATTTGCCACAACCTGATCGGCACATCTAAGAGTTGGTTTTATACTTAATGGTACTCTAATGAAAGGTGACAATGAAAGGAATTAATTTCTACCAACCCAGATCCTTTAGCGTGATCGGTTATAGTTCCTCACAACAAAAGGTAATTGGAATGCCTGGAAGAAACCATTATAGTGATGACAAAATTTTAAGGTGCGAATATTTTGAAAACTGTATATGTCAGAGGGGAGTACATACAAAAGCAGAATGAATCATGAGTAGAGACATCTGGTGATAAACTTCTAAACCAATAATAATTTGTTGTAGATAGAAGTTTATTACCATGCCTCAGTGTTAATAAATAATAATAAAGGGCGTCGGGATGTGACGAACCTACCGCCCATTATTGCGTCCATTGGGACGCTCTTTAGGATCTGGAGTCGATTGCGACTCAAGATCCTAAAGAGACTCTCACCTTTAGCTTGCCTTAATTGGCCGACCAATAGCGGAATGTTAGTCATGCTCTTGTCCAATAGAAATAAAATATGCGTGTGAACCCAGTGCCAGATTTCATTATGTACTTACCTGTGTATGTGATGTGATGTGGTTACCATTCAAAATTGCCTACAAGGGTGTAAGTAAGTACATACTAATTATTTCTGCACCTCAATGAAACATAAACAATTGCTCTCAAAGGTGTTCCAATTAGCAAAGATGATGTCCTCTGACGACCTAACAGACGTTAAGCATCATGGCAAATATGGCGGATGATTACAATAATATCAACATGAGTATTCCGTATGTTGTATTTATTTAGGATATATGTGCAACATAGAACGGATGACCTTTTATTTCGTAGTTATTAAAAACATGTTTTGATGCGATGCGTAGAAGTGCAAGGGCTTCAATTGAATCAACTTGATTTTACAATTACTGAATGGATTCGTGGTTATAAGCGCATGCCTTATAAAGATCTACGAGTAACACTTACATTTCCATCCCAGAATCCACTAGCCTTTGCGTATTCTAAAAGTTCTTCCGATTTCTTATCTATGTTGGTCGTGATTGTTAAAACATTTGATATATTCCTGTAGCCTTCTAAAAAAAACACAAAATTAGTGGATAGATTAAGGTTTGTGCGAAAATTATTGTGTTGCTATTTTTCTGGTATCTAGGGCCACTCTTGATCGTACAACAAGTAGGTATAACTGCCAGAGAAAACCAGCACTTATTAATAATTGTTTTGTTTTTATGTCTTCTCGGATTCCCTATCGCTAATTTTGAATTCTAACAAACAATTTTGAGAAAAATGGTTTTTTGCTGACTACAATAAAATTTGTAAAATAGCCAACTTTGCTAATAAACTTTATAAATAATTATGTTATGTTGATGGTATACATCTCATGAACTTTTATAGGAAATTAAAAGCTGTCGCAAATTACATTGAAGGCTGATAAACACGTGGCCGCTTTGCCGTTTCAAAAGTTTGGTTTTGAATTTGTATTTTGTTAATATAGGAAAATTTACACATATACCGCTTCATAGCGAACGTGAACGAAAGTATGTCTGGAAATAAAAGCGATAACAACGTGTGCATTTTTGAGATAAAGCCCTAGTGAGATCGAATTGTAAGGGGGTTTTTGGCAGACGAGGTTAGACTTTCTGAGAGTCACCTTAAGTAGGACGTACGGTGGCATTTACACCTTGACAGTGCTATCAGACAGCAACAGGATTCTCGCCTTTAGGTAGCGTTCATGCAACGCTTCGTCAGGTGAACGCACCTATTAATTTAAGCCACTCCCGCCAGATTATAAAAAACCGGGGAATTTAAAAATCGCACGTCACATGACTAATAATTGACAGTTTTGTGGTTAGGGATGTTAATTCAGATATGCCGAATACAATTAAAAACCAGTGGTTGTGTGTGTTACGGGTTTCAAAAATTGGACCAATAAAAATGTTTATTTTAATACACCGGGAATTTTTGGGAGGAGCTTAACTATTTCTGTTGGATGAATACATAATAATTGACGTAAAGTTCATGGTTTACTTTTTGGTTTTTCCAAGGATAATAAGACTTGAAGTGTCGTGGTGTGAAAGGCAGGGATTTTTTAGCGCTACCCCTGTAACGAGTCCTGTAAACACCAATAAAGACAAATTTGACAATAAACTTTATCACAACACGTCTCTTTATACATTTTTTACCTACACACCTTCAATAAAAATAACTGGTCCATTTGAAAAGATGGATCATTTACACAAATACTTTTTTTGTAGAAAGAGTACAGCTAATATTGCATTTTTTTAAATTACCTCACAAGTACAATATCATTAGCATGTGTCCCAATTAGACTGAACCAAATAATTCTATTCAGACTCTTATTCAATGATAATGCAAAACATGGCATGTTGGTTGCCTAAGCTACAGGCAATGATAAAACGTGTTTGTGCAAATGCTGAGAAGATACCTACTAGTAACTTGTTCTGCAGCCCAATGTTTTCCAATAGTTTCCAAAACCCAAGCACATTTAGAATCGGCAATTAAAAATGAATTATGAGCGCAGAAATTTGTGTCCTTAAAACAAGACCCTCCTTGACCATATTGATCCAAAAGCTGTGTAATCACATCCACAGCTTCTGATGCGGATGAGCTTCTTTCTAAACCTAATCTGCAAGCAGTCAAACAATGAAGATGACCCGCAACTTCAAGCATTACCATACCTGACCAAATCAGTCCCAAGCAGTCTTTGAACTTGTGGATCATGGTCACCTTCGCAATTATTAGTCAACACTGGTACATTGCCAATGACAACTCCGCATTCGTTAGCACCCATCTCGGCACCCCACATCCAATATGGTTTACTTAAAATTACAGCCTTGCTTGGACCACTCAGTTCCACTTCCACATATGTGCACTACAAAAATGTTTTTATACAAGCAAAGCAAAAGATTTCTTACTTTTCTCGTGTGGGCAGATTCGTCACTTGGAAAATAGACAATCTCCTGAACCTCGCCTTGTGGTCGATCCGAATTTTTGCCAAATATGACTCCGTGATCGGATAAAGGTGGAAGTACAACAAAGGCATTGGAAGAATCTGGATTGCTCATCTGTTGAAAGAAGAAATATAAGTTTTATAAACGAAATTTTTCATCCATATTGATCAGAAATCACACCACATTATTGCTTAACGGTAACTTACCTTCTGTGAAAGAAAACAGCTCTTGAATTTGTATCAATATATTTCACAATAAAAGCACTTTATTGAATAATTATTGCTTCAATAATTAAAATGCTCTGCATGCATGAGGCGAAGAACGAGACTAAATCAAATTTAGTGCGCTCTCAATTAGATTTTCGGTCGAAAAACTCAGTTTTTCTGCCTGACAGTGACAGTTCGTTAACCACAAGCTGCAATCAGCTGATTGTCAATCATGTCTGCTGATCGTGTCGATAACTTCAGATTGCAGTGGCGATATCTCGTGGCGCCATGCGCTCACAATTTAAATTGCACAGTTTTGTGTGGTAAACATTGTCCTATTCTCAAGCATTTTGCATGAATCTTATCGATATCCAGAATATCGTACTATTATGTGCGAGTGCGATGCATGTAGGTACTAATATCCATCTGTAGTACCCTTTTAATATAATCAATTATCAAAGAAGCGCAATTTTTCTCTCTACTGTCAGCTCTCCAGGCTATAAATCCTTTAGAAAAGTGCACTATTCAAATCGACGGTCTGTTAATTTTTGAAGCAAGACTGTAGTTGGTAGATTGTCTATAATCAAAGTCGCGTACTTTTTTTACTTGTGCCAGCTTTCATAAATATTCATTTTTCTATCGATCTAAGATCTAGCACAAGTCGATTATTCTGTATGGATTTTATAGGCTTTGCTGTATATTTTTTAACAAAATTTAAGGCTCATCAGAAAATTTGCGATGATTACTGAACGGAAAGTACACACATTGATTAATTCAATTTTTCTAGAAACTGGGAAACTGTAGACAGGTTGTGCTTGATCGGTCTAGTTACTGACCTATACTTTTTGATATATATGTAGTCCCCTTTAGATCTTAAAGTTCTTTTCTTTGGGTCTGCTGATGTTATAGTCAACTTTCTTTCCAGTCGTTAAATTGTTAATATGACAACCAGGGCAGTGAGGCAACAAAGTAATTGCCCATTTTCAGAATGGAGATTATCAGTGACGTATGGGAAGTGAAAAAAAAGCATGCGACCGTCACGAGATGTAAAAAGTCAATACTTTTTGACCTTGTAAACCAGCGCCACGTTGATATTAGGCTGTGAAAATAGATTTGGAGTTTTTTGACTTGTTTCGGAGATTGCAATTCATTGGGCTGCTGGCATGCACTCGTCCCCATTTTCCACGATTTCCGTAGGCACGCATCTCTGCGTGACGGCGTGTGAAAGTCACGTTTTGCGCTCGTCTACGTATTTCGTAATACGTTAGATGGCAGCATAAACTAAATTTGGAGGCTACATTTTCTTTAGTTCGCGATTCGATTACTTCATCGAATGACGGCGTACAATTTGACCGTTCTATTGTAACTACATTTTTTCTTATTAATTATTGTATAATTATATTAATTTTAAATAAAACTCCTTGTGTATAATGGCTCTTTTTCGTGTGACAACTAGTCGAATTAATGAAACATCGGTAAGTCTCTCAATTTTCAATTTTTTTTACATTTTGTACACCTTTAATTGTGTGACGAGGGGCAGTAGTTCTTTTGGATACTCCAATTTTTTGAACATGAAAAAGAGCGGGTGCATGTCTACCTATGCGGACCCCAATGCCACAAATTTTAGGTTATGTACAAGTTGGATATTATATCTAAAGGGGGTTGCGTAAGCATCATTCAAATTTTTGATGGGCTTCCAAACGTTACATAATTTACATATGACCTTGTCTTGTAAGGTGTTCTATCTATCATTTACCATTCACATATAAATTGGTTTTTACCCACATTTCTAAACCATCGAGGGTTTCCCTAATAAGGCTTTTTTTGAACTTTTGCATGTGATTTTCCCATAAATTGCGTGAACGTCATGTGAGACTTATCATCAGTCTTCATTATCTAATCCCATCAGATTGTGTGCATAGGAGATATCATTATAGATGAGAGTAGGCTGACGTAAAAGTGGTGTGATGCATCTCGGCTCTTTAGTGAAATACCTAATTAGAGTTATCAACGTTATTTTAGATATAGATGAGTATTCCAAATTTAATGTTCTAATTATCAATACACATTAACTCTATCTACTAGCACTTATCACCCTAAAATCGGTGCTATGGTAACGCGTGACAAGCGTATCTTAACAATACAGTTTATGCCAAGTATAAAAATTATAGGTACCTAATTGGGTTTATAATAGCACTATCAACTTAATGATTAACTGATTCGTCAGCTTACAAAGATTACTTCGTTAGTAATTTTTCTAATAACGAGAATTAACCTGTAAAATATTTGGCGGGAGGTTGCGATGACGGGATTGATGATAAAACTTGCAACAAAGGATTTCCGTCAAAATTTTTAATTTATTGCGATGTGTGGGTGGGAAATAATTTATGGGATTTCTAAAGTAATTCGATGGTGACATATCAATTAGCAACATTGATATTATTATTAAATGCAATGATATTATGTAGGTAAAATCGATTTTCTAGGCAATAAATTGGAGTGCTGTGTCCCTATTATCCGATTCGGATATCGGATTATGACATACCTACATAAATAGTACTAATTAAACTCATAATTGACACCCCCTGATAAATACAAGTCGCAAATACCTATGTAAAAAAGAATGGTTACCAAACAACCATGTGATCAAGTTTTTTGAGGTTTTTTTTTAAATCTAGATCCCACAACCTTGGAGTTAGTTCCAATCGAGATTACAATTAAAAGGAAATCCAATGTATCAGTATAGAGGTAAATATTTGCGCTAATGGAAATTACTTAGACCTAGAGTTTTTCTCAAATTACTTATTCGGATAGTTCAATCATGTAGTAAAGGTCTATAATCAGGGTGAAGTAGCAGGTATGATAGGTATTTTTTTAGGTGGAACCAACAGATTTGATCCAAAATAACTGTAAATAAAATTATTAAGCCACAAACATGTTTTTATTGCTTGGTTTTATGTTTGTGACCGAATGTATCAAGATATGTTTGCTTATTGTTTAATAATAAATATTTTCTTAGTCAAAAGAGTTATAGAAAAATGTTTATTACAATAGTTTCTATATAATGATTGTTGAATACTGCCGTTTTCAAAAAATAAGTATACGGAGTCGGGTAAAAAAGTTATCGGACCTTACCTCATTTTTTTAATTGGATCACGCTGTATATTTTAATTTAAAAAGATAGCATAGGTATTAAATTTTCTTTTTAAAAATATAACATCAGCAAAATTCAAAGAATTCAATATTGATTCAAAAAAATTGAAAAAGATTTTCGAAAAATTAAAAAAATTAACAATCCTTATGAAATTTTTGGGTATTGTTGTGTATTGCCGCCTCGTGTGGCGCAGTTCAGTTAAAGCTGAACTGTGGTGCTAAGAGTCGCTGGTTCGAATCCGGGTTCGGGCATGGATATTTGTAAATGTATAGTGGGTTGGGTTGGTAGAGCAGCCTTGGCTGAAACCCCCCCACTCAAAAATAAAATGATTGTTGAATGTTCTGCCGTTTTCATAAGTATCCGGTTAAAGTTACTGGATTTGTAAATGGAACACCCTGTATATTTTACTCTAATAAGATAGCATATTCTTTTTAATAAATTTTAAAATTAAAAAAAGGTTCAACTAATTCAAAAAAATACACAAAAATTTAAAAAAGAAAAATTTTTTTGTAATAAACATTTTTCTTAAGTGGGCGAATATTTTACCATTTTAAGTTTGACCCAAAACAATTCAAACTCGAACGATTTACTCCACTCGCCTTCGGCTCGTTCCTTAAACTTCGTTCTCGTGATTAGTAGACTACATTCTATGCTGGTTGTACAATATACTATTGCCTACACTGAACAACGCAAAATAACGTTTTTTGACAGATAATCTCCACTTTAATTTTGACGTTTCTGATCTCTGATACATCATGGGGCTGAAAAAATCATGGCTGAATGTATCATTATGTGTTACGACATCAATTAAGACTACAAATATGCTGTTTTTTAAATATTTAAAGTTAATTAGTTACATTTAATAAATTATTATTAGCGCTAAAATTATGTAAAAAATGATTTAAAAAAATAAAGGTAGTGCTCATTGATCATAATAATAGTTGTAATTAAAACGAACTTTTTGTGTCTAAGCTCTAAGGGCAGTGAAACCTTCAATAATTAAGTACGCACTAATTTTTGCGCTCGGTGCCTTCAAGTCACGGGAGATTTTGGTGGGGAGACGATAAAATGAGTCAAAGTCAAAAATGAATCTTTAGAAATGTTTCGCGAGCTAACTGCCTGTGCATTGGCTGTGGTGTCACGTGAATCAATTAAGTGTCGTGTGTACCATCAACCATGTCACTTTTTCAAGTGTAAAAAATTCTAAAATTTTTATTTTTTGCAACGCATTTTCTCATTGTGCATACCTCTCTTTTATTGTTGAATTTATATTGCGTTTTTTTATAGGCGAATCTCATCATTCATTATGTATAACTTATTTTCTGTTCATTAACATTTCATTGTAATTTATTCGGATTATTTAATTGACTTATATTAAGTGTATACAGGGTGTAATAGGTAATAATGCTAAACAAATTTAGGAGATAACCAAAACGAAACACTCTGTACAATCGGAGTCACAAAATTTTGTCTTCTCCCGAAGCTTCTTTGTTAATTTTTTTCCTCAGCAAACAGAACACGGGAGTATACCTAGGGCTTTAATAAAATTCTTCTATTGGGAACTTATCTCTTAAGGGAAATATTTTGAACCCTTAGCTTATTGGCAAAAAAATGTTTTAGTTAGTTATAAGAATGAAAGTGGTGTTAAAATTGTTGAACTTCTACATTATGAGTGGTATTATATGTAGTGTGTTGCACATAAAGCAGGATTCAAACTATTTCGTCGGGAGCCCCAGCGAGAATTGCATTTATGAATTGTTTTCGGTACACCACTGGAAGTTTCCTTGTCATGTCCAAGCAATGAAATGTTGCCGAAATTTTGTTTTTGGGAAAGAATGAAAATGAAAAATGCGTGGAAACGTATGTATTGATCATTTGTTGTTTGGTACACCCGGAAAAGTTTTCTTTCCGTTGGGGGAGGTTACAAGGTAAACTCGGAAATCAGCTTGCTAGCAAATCGCTGTCGTATTTGTATTTCAGTATCACATAATAAACCGGTTATTTATTGCTACTGTATTGCTCCGCCCATTTGGCGATGTTTATTTCTTGAATTTGGGGGTGCTAGTTTAATATTAACTTGGAACCCCTCGGTGGGGTAAAATGTGTTTACGGAGGTCAGAAATGAACGAGGATATAACTTCCATTTTTTGATAGATAAAAATAGCTACAGGGTGAAAATTTTGTCTGGAACACTGAATAGAATACCTATATCTTCAAAACTACAATTTTTGCAACTATGTTTTTTATGATATCCCAGATCATAAAGTTTGCTACCAATCTACGCCCTCTAAATTTGTGGTCAGTGGCGTACCTCTGCATAGTCAAGGGGCATATTTTTAGCTTCCTAGCTTGAGCTAGGTGGCTATTGCGATTGCTGGGAAGCTGTCCTGTGAGGAATTTGGCACCTGGTTTTTAATGGCAACTACTACTTTTGATTACATATTATCGCATCGCATATTATACACTTTTTTGGATATGGGAGCATAAAAAACTTATTATATTGCATAATCAAATTTAAAAGAAAAACTCAAATTAAGGAAAATAATAGTGTTAATTAATTTCATAATTTTACTTGCTTGCCTTGAATAAAAAACGGTAATCTTTTGTTAGATACTTTTGTTAACGCAATTTATTCTATCAAAAATTATTAACAATTGACATCAAATCTATAAACTTAAAAAGTATGAAAAGAGGCGTGTGTCTGTACTTAATTCAGCTATTAAAAAAAAACACGTAAATAAAAAAACAAACTATTTGATATCAATACAAAGAAAAGCTAAATTGAAAGAATTTTGATCAATCAGGTGTTCGAATTCTCTCAATGGTCTTTTGACAATAGCCCGGTTATCAAATAAATTCACTCTGGACCCTTCCAATTACCTCTGGATTCTGTATCTCCCGCCGAATTCGTTGTTTAAAATCTTCCATACGTAAATAATTAAATTTTACGTTTCTATATTGAAAAAAGGTGTGCAGAATATATAATAAAAAATAATTAGTGGCTGCTATTACAAAATATAGATTTATGTCCTTGACTCTGCAGACCTACACCACTGACCACAATTTGGAAGTATGGTAACAAACATATTATAATTTTGGATACCATTAAAAAATGTTGTTTGGAAGATAATATATTCAGTGTTCCATTCCAAATTTTCACCCTGTATTTTATTGCTTTAAACTGACGTTTAAAATTAATAATATGTTAATACAACGGGAATGCTTTGCGGGTGCAACCTTCTCACAGGAGCAAAGCGCCTCAAGTAAGCTTATTACCGTCATGGTTTTAATGCTCAACCACTTTCTATATTAATTGCTTGC